CCGACCAGGATGATAATTGATGAATGATTGTATGAGAGTCTGAAACAGCCGAAGTGCTTGGCGCGGGGGGTGGGTGCTTAGTCATCGGATAGCCCCTTTTACGGAGGCGCTCGAGCTTTGCGAAAGGGAAAATGAAAGCGAAGCAAGAAGGAGAATCGTTTCTCGTGAGGTGGATCGTGAACCCTGAATTTCTTATTGCTGCTGCTCCTACCTCCTCTCTCTTCCTCTTCCTCTGATCAGTCACGGTCGGATTGACTTTTACCCCTGCTGGTCTTGTCAGTGTGCCGTTCGTTCGTTTTGTCCGTCCATTGATTCATCCATTCATTCATTCATACTCTCTCTCCCTACAATCTTCTGTTGGCCTCGCTGCCTTCCCTTCCCCCTCCTCTCTTCCTCCCCAGGTAAGTTCTGTATGTCTTGTTTACCTTGCGTACTTCGGCGCATTGCCAATAATGAGGCACCATTACCTTGTTCACGCGGACGGAAATTGACCCTCCGGCCGTGCTTAGCTCGCTGTCCTTCTCTCTCGTCGTCCTTCTCCCTCCACAAACCCCTCCCCTAATAACGCATTCTCTCCTTTCAGCGACTGCAACTCCGATCCCTATTCGACCGGGAAACGCCCATTGAACGATCTCGCAACATAATTCTCAATACCCTCTTAATCTCTTCAGCAGTCTGCGACCTTCAGCGGTCGCTTATCGTGTGTCACAATGGGCGGTTCCGTCTCTAAGATAATGGGGAAGATTTTCGGCACCAAGGAGATGCGTATCTTGATGCTGGGTTTGGATGCTGCTGGAAAAACCAGTGAGACTCCCTGCTGATCGCTCCTTGTCAGCCAATCAATTGTGAATATTTGTACTAATCAAGGTGTCAACAGCAATTCTTTACAAGTTGAAACTTACAAATCAGGATGTCACCACGATCCCCACCGTCGGTTTCAACGTCGAGAGCGTTACATATAAGAATGTCAAATTCAACGTCTGGGATGTCGGTGGTCAGGACAAGATCCGTCCACTGTGGAGACATTACTACTCCGGTACGACTTTCGCACGGAGCAGCTAGTTTCGAGGTGTCCGATACTAATGCTGATACTCCGACCAGGTACACAAGGTCTGATCTTCGTCGTCGACTCTAGCGACACTGCTCGGATGGAAGAGGCTCGCTCGGAGCTTCACAAGATCATCAATGATCGCGAAATGAAGGATGCGTTGCTCCTTGTCTTTGCTAATAAGCAGGATGTCCAGGGCCGTATGTATCTTGCATTCCTACCTTCAGAGTCAAGAGCTAATCAGCTGTCATCTGCAGATATGAGTCCTGAAGACGTCACCCAGGCACTGCAACTCAACAAGCTCAAGGACAAGCTGTGGTATGTTGCGCCTAGTGTTGCAACGGAGGGTACCGGTATCTTTGAGGGTCTTGTAAGTCAATAATCCCCAAGCCTCGGCTTAACAGGGCTAACCTTTCATTCTTGCAGGCTTGGCTCTCCAACAACGTCAAGACCCAACCTCAGAAATAGATTATTCGCACGCCGGCCGCCAAACCCCTGCAGTCGTGAATCGGAGGCTGTTCTAATGCCCCATCTCGTGTACAGCATGCTCCATTCCACCTACACCGAATTAGTTGGCACCTCCTCGTTTCACGTCGGCTTTGATGACAGAAGACGCAGCATTTGAACCCTGTGTTTCTTTTTTCTTTTCCTCCTGCGCATGCCTCTTCCGCCATTTCATTCTTCTCTTTTTCATGATATCCCTCACTGTTCCGATGCGGGCCATTTCAATACCCCTCCCCCTCTAATAATACTCCTACCATTCTCTTTTTCGTCTTGGCTTTGACTTTCTTCACATTATTATTTTCGTCACCCCGTGTCTTCGGCGATGTGTAGAAACATTTTCAAAATAGAAGGGAAAAAACTTTGGGACCAGCACATACATGCATTCCACACATATATCGTGTTTTAATGATGTCTTTGTTCTTGAGCTGCTTTCTGTCTTTCATAGCTGCGCTAGATACTAGGAAAAAGAGAGATCTATGTTTGAATTGGTGTGCGTGTCTGACGTACATTTGACGTGCTATACTAGGGTACTACTGATGGTAAGTTACTGGAGATCAAGCCACTCACAAACAAAGCATGTGACTTGGCTTCGTATCAGACAGCGATCTAGACTCCTTTCCCCACTTACTGTAGCAGGGAATGGTCCTGGCCAGGATCAGCCCATACTGCAAGGTTATGAGATTATGGGCTGTAGGTTCTATCGGAACAAGCGAAAATACGAAAATTCTCCAGCTGAAATTGGGTTTAGGTACGAATGATATTGTCAGTTGGCGAAGCGCGATCTACATTACCAGGTGGGCTTGTCAGCGACTAGGTTAGCGAACCTTGCATCTTTCCACATTGGGGCATCTCCAAGGTACTCAAGCACCTGCCCGCATACTTAAAGACACTGTGTTTTTTTTAATATCACAATAGGGATGATTCTTCGAAGAATTAATAGCTCAATCATATTTGCACTAACACTGTACATTTTTAAAACCATATGTTAAATAAGTGGTATCCTAAACACACAAAAGTTTGTCGTCACGTTCGTCTCATCACTCCACGTTCATTGTTGAAATCGACAGGAGAGTTGGAGTCTGGCCTTGGAAGGGGCAGACCTCCTTTGTGGTAGTAGCTTTACCGAAAGTTTTGGCCATTTGATTTACAGCTGACCGGGCCAGATATCGTCGGCGATCTCACGGACAAGCTTGAGCTTGGCGATCATGCCGTCACGGTCGATGGCGTTGCCCTCTCTGTGGCTGGCGAAGCCGCACTGAGGGCTGACGCCAACCTGGTTGAGTGCCTGCTCCAGGGAGATGTTGTTGCCCTCGGCGATGAACTTGGCGGCATCGTACACGCGCTTCTTCATCTCCTCCTTGTCTTCAAGCTGGGCGAACTTGCTGGTCACCACACCGAGGATGACGTTCTTATGGGTGGGGAGCTCCTTCAGGGGCTCGAAGCCACCGGCGCGGGGGGTGTCGTACTCGAGGTAGTAGGTGTCAACGTTGAGCTCTTTGAAGAGCTTAGTGGCAATGCGATCATAGCCACCCTCGGAGAAGTGACGGCTGCCGACGAAGTTACCACGGCAAAGGTGAACGCCGATGTGCATGTCAGCGGGGCGCTTAGCGACGCAGTCGTTGTACAGCTTGATGTACTGCTCGAAGGTCTCATCGGCGGAGCGTACGTTCAGGGGATCTTCCTTCCACCCGGCAAGCATCTTCTCGGAGCAGAAGTCTGATGATCACAGTCAGCCATCTATGTATTTCGCGTGCTTGTTTGTGGGTGGTTGGTAAGCCTTACAAGCAAGGTTGGGGTCATCGAACTGAACGTTCCTGCAGCCAGCGTCATAGAGGATCTGCAGCTCAGCCTGGACGGCCTTGGCAATGTCGCCGAAGTACTCCTCGTCGGAGCTGTAGACATCCTTGGGGTAGGCCTTGCCCTCCTTGTAACGCAAGTGATACCAGTTGGGAGCGGCAAGAGTGATCTTCAGGTTCTTGACTTCATCGGCGGGAACCACGCTGGCCAGGTACTTGAACTCATCGACATACGTGCTGCCAACGTGCTTGATCTTGCCGGTGCACAGGACGGTCTCACCAGGCTTGTGGCCGGCCTCGAGGAAGGCAGCGACATCAGGCGCATACGGGCGGAAGATGTCGGCGTCAAAGTCGGTCACCTCGTCGAAGCCGTCCAAGCCAGGGAAGAAGGTACCCCAGAACACTAATTTCAAGGTCTGGTTAGGCCTTATAGCCTTATATAATAACAAAGGCTCATACAGCACGGGGAAGTAACTTACTGTGTCTGCGATACTCTCCATCAGAGATGGCGGCATAGCCGAGCTTCTTCTGTGTGTCAACAACCTCCTTGATATCCTTGTTCTCAATGACATCCAGCTCAGCCTTAGAGACTTCGCCCTTCTCGAAAGCAATCTTGGTCTTCAGGAGATCATCGGTCCGAAGCAGAGAGCCCAGGTGCTCAGCACGGAAAGGGGGGTTGCGGTGAAGTTGAGGGGCCATTGTGATGCACAGACAAAATGCAATAGCTAAGAGACATTAGCTGAAATCTCTCGCTACTATCTCAGACAAGATGGAACTCACTAAGGACAGGAAATTGGTGAAGCAGAAAGAGAAAAACAACGGTCAGAGAGGCAGGAAAGGGGGATGAAGAGGAGGGGAGGGGCACGCAGCACTTTTTGAGGCAAGACTGCGAGATCCGAAGTCCGGAGCAGGAGGAACCATCTGTTCAGCCTGTGCCCCACAGGCCTGTCCCAAATCTACTCTTACATCCGAGTTTCGAGTTTCCCGGTTCCTATCGGTCACTCATTGTCGGCTACTTTATTTCGGCCTTCGGCATGGAATAGTGACTTCGACGGCCGGTCTTCATACTCTTAAGTCCCGCAGAAGCAGAAAGCTCTTATAAGCCCATGGATGCCTTTCGTTTATCTCCATGGAAAGCATAATAAACTTGTCCATAGCCAGGTAAAGACCTCAAGGAGAGGATCCATGAATCATAATCGCAAAAAGGGTGGCGGAAGCTTTGATCGACCGGTGTGGGGCAAAGCATTGATGCTGTAAGGCCTGACTCAGCGAGGCATGCATTTTTCAGACAATCGCATAGGTTATTGTATCAGTCTTGAGCATTCCGACTACACCCAGTCGGTGAGCATGCATCAGACTCTTATAATAGCGCTTGACACTGCAGGAAATGAATTGGTTGCATTGGTCGCATTGCAAACAAAAAGCAGAGGGATGAATGTCAGTGTCTGCGCTTTTGTTCTGCTGGTGCGGGGGGAAGACGCTAGTCCCTCGACCTTCTCCACACTTGGTCTGTTTCAGGTAAGGCTCCTTTTGCCGAGCGTCCAGAATAATTTCGCCTGTCAGAACTGAGACGTCAATCCACCTTATCTGACAACTTCTCTCGCAGTTGCACAACCTACTAGAATATCATAATGATGCGGAAGGATATCATATATACATCAAAGCTCTGTCTCCCAAGCACTGGGATCAACTTTTTACCGTCTATCCTGACATGATGAAGCATAATACCCTATCAAAACTCTCCTAATTACATGGAATCATATGCTTGGAAGCTGTGGGGAACCGCGGCACTTGACAACATCTCGAACTCCCGACCGGCTATCTCTTACTCACCGCCTGCTGTATAAAGATACACTACATGTTGAACTTAACCAAGATCCTTATCTTGTGCTGTTGATTCACTGTCACGACCATCAGTGTCTATACCACAGAATTACCGAATTCTAGCACTCGAACCGGTCGGAGCCTGGTATACACAGTGTGCTCCTGAGATGTGAAACCTAATCAGGAATTGTCAAGTTCTTTGGGCAATCGAACGATGACTTCGCAGCTGTCATGTCTTGAAAACTTGCCGAACGAAATCCTGGATGAGATTGTGAGCTATCTTCCAGTGGCTACTCCCTCCGAATACAACTTTCATCATACACCAGCAATATACTTCACAGCTTCCAGTACGCAGCAGAACTTGAAGAATGCCGCACAAGTATCTTCACGGCTGCTCGAGCTCGTGCGATCAAGACTCTACGCGCATTCTCGATTCTATCTCGATGATCTCTATGACTTTCTCAATTTCGTCACATCGCACAGACTAGAACGCTATATTACCTCGCTTGTTGTGCTACTTGGGAATGATCCACCCCGCGACTTGGACATTAACCGGTTGCTCCGACATTTGTCCAACCTCAACCCATTGCGGATCACTGTTCTTGCACCACCTTCGCGGATTGGGGCCATGTTGAACACCAAGGCTCCGGAGGAGCATAATTGGGCGTTTCAAATTACTCACCAGTTGTGTCAGTGGGAGCGAAGTGCCCTGCCTGAATCCCCGGTCTTCACGACTAACCCGTCATCCAATCCGTTGGATATCATGGCCTATTCATCACTCAGATTCAATGAGGGCTCCTCGCTCAGAGCGTACGCACATTATGAGTACTTCTTGTTCGAGGTTCCGTCAGTGCTTGGTAAATGGGGTACAATAGCCTCCATGGGCAGCGATGAGGAGAAACTTTCCATATCGCGCAGGCTCCGGCATCTGACTTCATTCAGCTACACCGCTATATTCCCCTTCTATAATCATGTGAAATTGGTCTTGGATGCCCTGGAGCTGATGATGAACTTGCAATCATTCACCGTACAACTGGCCCCATGCTCAGAAGACTCGGCCATTGACCTGGCAAACAGAGGTCCCATCGATCCCAACGATCCATGGATGGAGCTGGCTACGGGGTACGATATCATCGCTCATTCCATCATCGAGCTGGGACGTAGCGCTTCGCTTGTTCATTTCCGCACCCTTGACTACCAAAACGATGCACTTCGTGTTGAACTCAGCCAATCGTTAGGCGCAAAGTTCAAAGATACCGAATGGGAGACGAATGGCCATGGGGAATGGACCAAAACAGCATCGAATGGAGGAATCAAGAACCAGTCCTCGAACACTGGTGCATGATAGCCTGATCATGGACTTTCCCACAACGCAAAATTGCAATTGAACCATTTGCGAAGTTTCATTCGCGAAGAAAAGCCTTTCGTCATTTCTAGCACCATAATAGATAAACCCCCAGCTTAATCCTATACAATTTGGGTTGACATTCACACTTCATCACCCTTTCATACCATTGGTGTACTTTTTGGTCCGAGCCTGTCTGTTTTTGCCGCACCCCTACATCCTTGCAACTCCCATCATTTTTTTAGAGTAGACCTCATGCCGATCTTCCATTCCGGCATTGTCTTGTCTCTAACGCTGTTCAAGAGTGTCTGGAGTACTGGAGCATGCTCCTGAGCAGAATTTGATGCCTTACATACCAGGCTTCAACACGTGCCGCAATCTAATCTGGACCCATTCTTCGATTCCACTCTCATACACACACTAATACCGACTCATTTTACATTGCATGATTTGCCTGCAGCAATCTAGTTACTGAATCAATTGCTCGCTAATTATATTCTCAATATGTACGCTCTACAACACTATAACCTCCGCACCAGCTGACTTGCTACGTAGCACTGCCACTCTCGATCCCCAAAACTATACTAGAAGTATACGCGCTAGGACCGCCGGCGATATTGTTCACTCGGACAGCCATGGACTTAAATAGTAACTCACATGCTGCTGGACCTGCGCTCCCCACTCTAGCCCACAATTTGCTGTTATCCGACAAAGCAAGCAGCAGTAGTCAGCAGTCCGTGGACGACATAGATTCGAGTCATACGCCACACCAGACAGAGTCCTGGAACCTCTACGCAGATATCAATGCTGGATTGCAAGCATCCCCGGAGAGTGCATTCCGCGCTGGCTCTGTGATCGGTTTCTCGCGGCTCCGAAGCAAGAGCAACGAGGATACGGAAGATGATGAATATTTAAGCCAGGTAAGAGCATATCAGCTACCAGAAGCCATCAGTCCGTACACTCCATGTTCATGCAAGAGCATCACGACCCTACCAGGTCAGGCCTCGATTCCTGAGAGCCTCTATTGAATTTTCATCTACGTCTATTCACGTTCACGATCACAACCCTCTAAGCCACAGACTAACCGCCTAACAGCTTCCTCGAGCCCTCCTCACAGCCCACTTAGTTCGCCAAGCCCAAACCCTCAACGCACCCAACTCAACGGCTGTCTATATCGTCCACCCAGCCACATTCAACGCCTTCTCCCCCAGAAGACTCCTCGCCTCCCTGCTCAACACCACCACCATCACCACCACCACCAACCGCCAAGTCTTGACACGCGACGCCGCGATCGCCTGCCTCGACCGCGTCCAACTCTTCCCCGTCTTCGACCTCTACGCCGCATTACAAGCCATCCACGAAATCAGCTCAGCCGTAGCATCATCCGCCGCAGGCCGCAACTCCCTGCAGCCCAACAAAGCCATCGTCCTCGTCGCCGGCCTCGACACCCTCGCCGAGGGTGTCGTGCGCACATCCAACGCCGCGCGAGGCGCGGCCGCCCTGACGGCCGCCCTACGGACATTGACACACCTGACCCGCACTGGTCCTGCAGCGGTCTCGGTGCTGCTGGTCAATACGAGTGGACTGGGGACAGCGGCCGCCAATGCTGACTATGCGAGTGGGTCGATCGCAATGCAGGATGAGGCCAGCAGTTGGGAAAGTGGGGTTCGGTCTGCATTTGGCGCAAATGGGGCGAGCCTATTTCCGAGCTTGTTGATGCGGACGTTGGACCAGGGACTTGATACGCATATCCTAGTGTCGACTACTAAGGGGTCGGGGGTGGTAGTCGAGGTTATCAAGGACCGGTTGGGCGAGGGGATCGGGAAGTGGTGTGTTTGGAAGAGCATTTGAACACTACTCGGTGTCTTTGTCACTTCATGCTACGATAATGTCGGAAGTAAAGATGGCAAGCAAGGTTTACTGGAAGGATACGGAACAACAAGATGCAAATGGTCTATCATCATTCATGGGCGGGAAATGGTGTCAAAACTATTAGCAGATGTTAAGCAACCACACACATACACTCCTAGAACCCCATATTCCTCTATTATGCATGCAACATGTTTTCAGTGGTATGTTTCCACAGACCCAAAAGAAAAAGGAAAAAACAGCCATGAAGAACCAACTCCGGTTCGATTTCCTGCTTTTTTCTTTTCCGGTAAAGAAAGATGGGGGGGTATCAATCAAGCACGCCGTCAAAAAGGCGGCCTTTTGGGGGGGGGGGGGGGGAAGGTGAAGACGAAATGTCATGGTTTAACACAAAGTTTCGGGAAGAAGAAGAGAAAAATAAAAAGATAACGAAGTTGCGCGAAGCAAACAGTGGCGATTAAATCGTGAGGAAAGCACTTCCTCAATGATTACTGATCTGAGCGTTGTCTTCCTCCGCCCATAGCCTGAGAACAGCTCTTTCCACCACGTTCTGAGCCTCCTTCTCGCATTTTTTAAGGTTCTGGGCCAGGGTACTCTCTTCGAAAAGGCCATCTTGCTGTTGCACCTTTACCCACTGCTTGTGCCGCTCGCAGCGTTTCTTGATGCAAACACCATGGGATAGATGTTCCAAATCATCCCCGGCGGGTTTCGCATCCCCCATGGCAGTATCGCCATCTGCGTCGGTGGCATCGGAGTAGCTTGACGCCAGTGCCTCGGGCGTGCCGTCCTTGAGTGCTTTGGCTCCCAGCTCGGAAAGCCGCCACTCGTCGAACTCCTCGTCTGACCAGGCCAGTCGGTAGTCGAAGCCACAGATGTCCTTCCATCCGCCCTTGGGTTCCTTCTGCTTCAGCTTGTCTAAAATACATTTGGAACGCTGCCGCACCAGAGTCACAAAGTGGCTTCGAGCCTTGAGCATCTCTTGGCGGTGGACGAGGCCATCACGCTGTTTGCGCAGCTTGTCGATCATCGCGGCCTCGTCGGGTGCATAGGTGAGCCAATCAACATCGAAGTCAAGGCCCAATTTCTTGTTGTCCTCTTTGGTCCCTGTAGCGGGGCCCTTCGCCGGTGCAGAGACTGAGATGATGCTCTCTCCCAGCTTGCGGAATTCATCCGCTGATTTGACGCCCATGACTACTGCCTTGAGGTCTCCGGTCGTGAGAACACCACCTCTGCTTCCGAGGTCTTCTGGATAATTATTCTTCTCGACATTATCATATCCGCTGCCTGTCTCTAGGCCACTTCCTTCTCGAGAGGACGCGCTGTCGGGAAATGGGCTGTTCGTTGAGGATCCCAGTCCACCTAGAGCTGCCCGAGCGGCTGACTTCCGAGCGCCAGGCCCGGCACTCACAAGTAGGAGCCTAGTCCTTTGAAGCATAAACTCTCGACCATGCTCATCTGAGCAGTATTTACTGGGACTGCCTTGATTGACACGGGCAGGCTTTCTGCACTCCTTCAGCCGACACATCGGCTTCCAGGTTGTCCATCCCTTGCCCCGCTCCTTACAATTCGGACCTATTTCTTGTCAGTTCAATATCCGTGATAAAATCATTATCGAGATATAATAGTAGTCGGAAAGAAGGAAGGTTGATTTGGGAGGCCAACTCACATATATACTTGTCAATCAGGTCAGCGTCTCGTGGATCAATGTTGACGCATTTCCCATGAAACCAATCCTCACAGCCACCGTCGCACCCAATCATCCACGTGTGATTGTCCGGCTTACGACAAATGCAGAACACTTCATCATTGTCTTCGGAGTCATCCTCCTCTTCCTCCTCTTCCACCTCCTCCACAAGATTACTCTTGGCGTTCTTCTTTTTGGCTTCGGGCGCCGGTGAGCTCGCGACGGACGCGGAACCACGTTTGGTCCTTCCAGCTGCTCTGCTCGTACGTGATGAAGGGGTGTTCGATCGCCTGCTTGCAACACTCTCATTGTCAATCTCAGTCAACTTCCTTTTCTTGGCCGCGGGTTTCCTAGCTGTGCCTTTCTTAGTGAGGCCGATACCGGACTTCTTGGTCGCAGCACTAGGTTTGGTGGATACTGCCGGTGAAGATCGATCGGAAGAGGACGCCCGGGAGGCTTCTCGATTCTTGAGGCTGGCAATCTTTTTCGGAGTTGGGTGTTCATCGGGCAATGCTGTACCATCGAGCTGAGGAAGCCCTGATTTGTGGTCGGGCTCATGATCAAGAGGAACTCCATTCAACTCCACATTCGACGGTTCGGTCTTCACTTGCGGTACGGGCGTATTGTGCTTCGTCGCAGATGTCGACTCGCCGACAACGCTGGGCAGACCTTCATAAACATCGGCCCATACCTCGGGTACATTCACTGAGCCCTCAACTTCGCCGGCAGACGCAATCTCAGGAATCCTAAGGCGGCGATGTAATTCGTCCGCCCGCTCAAATCCAAAGTACCCGCTTTGTCGCCATCCAGTGATCCCGACTACCTGACCGTTGTTCACAACTATATTGGCCGGGATGAGGTTGTTATGTACTAGGGCAAGCCGTTCGCCTTTCTTCCTCTCGCGAAAAAGAACATCCTTCTCGACTTGCTGGACGTCGGGCGGAAGTTGCAGATTTAGGCCGCTGCAAACATATGAGGGTCGGTCGGGAGCGGCGTCGGCATCTCCTAAGCGCTGGGATATGCGGCGACACTGATGCTTGAAGTTTTCGATTTGATCAGCACTGAGATACTTCCAAGCAACATCCAATGAGACACCGGAGAGTCTTGACTCCACGGTCACATTCTTGTTCTCGATGGTACCACAAAAATATATCACCGGAACAGTAATGTCGAGATCTCGGAGGGCATCCTCGGCTTTCCTTGCCGCGCTGAGCTCATTCGCATTGATGCACGAATACATCTCCGCTGCGGCATCGGCTTCAGGCTCACGGTCGACTCTAATGATGACGCTGCCAGCAGCGAAAGCCTCTCTCGCGCCCGGAACATTCAATGAATTTTCTGGCTTGCAAAAATCCTTCACAATGTCTTCCCAGTAGGACTTAACTTCTGGATCCGACTGGCACCAATACTCATGGCGAGGCTTGAAGTCAGTGTCCGACGATGCATAGCGCCCGTAATGCACACTTCGCGCAAGAAAAAGGTCATCGTCGGGAATGAGCTCGGGGTTGGTTTCGTAGGGGTTTGTTGGTCGCTTCTCGTCTACCGAGCCGTTCGCCTGGCTTGAGACGGCAGGCGGTTGTTGGTCTCCAGCCATCCCCAGAGCACCTGCCAGGGGCTTGGGCTGATCCCGAAGCACCTAACCACTGTAACTCCGTCTATGTTCCCTCGGCAAAGCTCGAAGAAAGCCAAACACGGCGTCTCGGAGATGAGCCAGGGTTCTACCCAGGGAGAGGGGGAAAGGAAGAGTTCCAGAACACCGGACGTATTAAAAAATGAACCCCGTTCTTGTCAAACACCTGACCATGATGTTGTCTCCGATCCTCACAAGCTATCGCAAGGTTTGGGAGAGGATGCGACGCGATATATCAGGAGTGGTAGAATGCGCTGCGTAGCCTGTCACTTCTTTGTCAGGTGGTGGAGGACGGGGATGGCGGCGGCGTTCGGCGAAAGATGCGAAACGGTGGTAGGGTCACGACGCGGTCTGCAAGCCCCAAAGATACATGAAACCACGAGTAAAACTCCAAAAATGTATTTCGCAATTTCTCAGGCGCCGTTCGTCTGGACCATGAGTGTCTTTGAGAGTAGCACACGAGGGGAGGTTCAGAGCTCTGCGGCAGCGCGGTCGGCGACGCGGAACAAATTATGGGATCAGTTTTAACAGCCTGGACGCCCTTTGCCTCGGACTTAATCCCAAGGCGGTGAGGATTAACACCGTGAGCTTGCAGCCTCAGGCACTCACTGTTATCAGCCTCAGGCCTGTAAGTTTAACTCTTAAGGCCTCGCCTCTCAAGGTCTCGAGCCTCCCGTTGACCATGTTTTGTGGCTGGGCTTGTGACGAAGTACAGGTCTTCAGTGTTCCTTCGCAACCTCCACGAGTGCATCCCTATCTAAAACATTCGCTCGCACCCCTCAGCCAAGCGGCAATCCTCCTGGCAGCAATGGCTCTGCACCCCCTTAAGCTTATTTCTAATTCAGCCTGACAACACGGAGTCTACTTTAACTATTCTTCGTATCAACGATGTTGCTCTTCCCACTAACAACTTCAGGGTCAACATTACTTTACCGTAATCAGCTAGGCAATCAGCTAGCCTGGTCCCATATCTGCACCTGCTAATATCTACGGTTCCTTTTGCTTATCATGCTGAAGAATTGTCGTCTTTAGACTGTCGTTCGGTCCACAAACCACCCTCGGTGACAGTCCGTTCATTCGTTTCTGCCTGACCTTGAACCGAACGGACCAGTGGGGATTATTCCGAAACTGTTGAAACGGCGCCAAAGTTTTTTCCCTTGGGCAGATAATATGGTTCAATGATCATTCCCCAGTGGATCTGCAGTCAGCACAAGGTTGATCTCGATTTTATCAGATAATCCGGTGCACTTCTCCCTCTCCCTCACGGAGTCTTCACTACCTAGCTCATTCCTCCTTTTCCACCCTTCTCAGCCCACACTTCATATATTCTGGTGGTGCCACCCAAATCCACCTGGCCCTGTCATATTGAGGTCCCCTCTTTTCCTGCCAGGCTTCCACCCTTCCATTCCTTGCCGGAGGCGATCCTGCAAATTTATTTTTGGATTTTAGCTTTCAGTCGTCGATTTGGCCCCATTAACAGCTCGATCCCCTCGATCCGCACTTACACCCTGAACGCATGCGATTGTGACTGCAAAGCCTCCTCCGAACATCATCAGTCTGGATGCATTATCCGCCAATATCTTAGACTCTCTTGGTTGTCACGCCGCTGACCCCATGTCGGGCTATTGAATGGCCTTCTTGTACCAGTATAAATTAACTGAAATCGAAGTGGATTGTCGGAAACCGTGAATACCCTCTTCTCCAGTGTCGCAGTGGTCCGGCCGACAAGCCCTCTCATCTCATTGCGACCTCCGCGCTCGTTTCGTTGAACTTCTTGGGCTAGCGTACTACCGCGGTTTCCATGACATGATCAATTCATCGCGCTAGTCCCGACTTTTCTCGTCGCTCAACAAGCATACTTTACGAAAGCCACGACGGCAAAAACGCCAAATCGAGTCATTGCTCACAAGAACCGCATTGCGGTATCCTAACCACCCTGCAACACGTTATCTCTTCTTTGTCTGGAATCCCCGGCTCGGAATCATGTCTCCTGAACCTGACAAATTAAGCACAATAGAGCCCACGGCAGGCTCTTCCCAAGTACGGTGGCAGTTCATCAACGCCTCGGGTAACAGCCGCAATAACCTAACTCAAGTCAAACGTCATGTCATGCAAGAATATATGCGACAAAAGCGACAGGCTGCAGGCCAGTCTGACATCGATGCTGATGAGACCATAGGGGAAGGCGGCCGCAAACCTTCCAGGTCACGTCGGAAAGCCAAGGATAGCAGCCATCGCGATGACCCCGCCGACACAAGGCCCAAGGTAGAGATTGACGAAAATGCTGAAGATACTGCGGCCAACATCGTGCACCAACATGGATCCGAAACAACCTCAACTCATCCAATCAGTGAACATAACATCACCGAGGTCGTGGAAAACTTTAGTGCAGAAGTCGGCGCTTACCCAAAGTCCGAATCATCCGTTTCATTACCGATCCGGGACAGTCAAATGTCCAGCTACAGCAGCTCCTCATCGGATTCCCGTATATGGTACTCGGCGACGTCGCAAAGCAGTAGCTCAGAGCTGGGAAGCTTGACGCCACGGTCCTCCGCCCCGACCTCCCCGTATGAAGTGGCGCTATCTCCGAAAACAGTACTCAGCGCCGCACGTACTGATCCTTTCAACACCTTACCACTGGAGTTGGACCTTGACGGCCAGCGGTTGTTCGATTTCTATGTCAACGAGATGCCCGCTTGCTCTTACGGGAATCATTTTCGATCTTCTAAAGCGCACAATTGGTACACAGCAGTCTTCGTTCCTGAAGGGATGAAAGGGCCGGTGGCGTTTCAGAATACCATCCTTGTCCATGCAGCTAATACGTGGACCTGGGTTCGTAATCAGGAGGTGGACGAACGAGGTCTGATTCATCGCGACCGGGCCATTTCCATGCTTCGCGAACACCGGGAGAGACACCCTCACGACTTCTCCGATGAAGTAATCATAGCTTGTCTTAGTGCTGCCGGACTTGAAGATTTCGATCCCCGCCCTGGACGCAAGCAAATCAGCTGGCTTCATATGCGCGCTGCAAGAGAGATGATCCGGGCCCGCGGCGGTCCCGCTGCATTTCATAATACTCGACTCGGAATGCTGATAAATTGGCAAGATTACATCCTCTCGGGCTATGAGACTGAAGGACCGAGTTTCTTCTTTGATGCTGCACCACCGATGGTACAGCCAAATGAGAGACGTGCCTCTGAGCAGCAACCAGCTACAATGACGCAGCCTATGATGGCTTCGTACCCGGTTCCAGTCGAGCTAAGCCTCTCCTGGCCTCGACCATTACTTCCATACGAAGAGATTCAGAATCAATGCGATGAATTCATAACCTTTCTCAAACGGTGTCAACAGCTTTCGGCCTATCAAGCGAGCACTACTGACGTCAATTTGCTACAAATGCGCCACACTGCCTTCCGAGAGGGGTCACTTCTACACCAAATCCTGGCGGCGCCTCCAGGGGCGCGCTTCACTGCATCTGGCAACCGCAAACAGTTCGTTGCGCGGCTGGTTGCCCTGCTCATGCTCAACGCGGCCCTCTGGGACTACCGACATTCCGCGCCGCACAGCGAGACGTTCCTTCAGACGCTGCAGCAGGCGGTGGTGGACAGCGAGGTGAATATGAGCGGTTCCGTTGAAGCACTGCTGCAGATCTTGCTCGAATGCAATGACGGATCTGTCAACACGACCAGCGACAGTTGCAGCCAAGGACCGGATTTCACGCAATACTCCCAGACCGCAAACACCCAATACCATCGGCCATGGTTCGCTGGTCGGATGCTCAAGGTCGCCAAGCGCCTCAGTTATGAGTCTTGGATGCACGTCAACTATATCCTCTTCTCTTGCCTGACTATGCAACCAGGCACGCCAAATGTTGCTCTGTGGGAAGATAGCCTTCGACAGGAGATCCTTCACGCGCCGCTCACCAAGTATATCATGTCCTCTTTGGAAGAGCTATGACACCAGCCCCACGATTATACATTCATTCTTCTTTATCAGATTCCATATTCCTGCAACACCCTACCTAGACTCGGAGTCCTTCCTGCACCTTCCCCCTTTCTTGTGATTCGTCCTTGATGACATAGACACTATTTTCTCTCTCTCTCATCCGTCTGCAACAACACTATACATTCCTGGGTGCAACCTCTCTTATATATATGCTTATCCTTCAAACCACCTCTTTTGTTCACTGCGTGTTATACCCCAGCTTGTACCAACGAACTCTGAAGCCATAGATTTCTTTTTTTGCTTTCATTCTTCCGATGCTGTAATTGAATATCAATTGGAGCATCTATCTATGACATGATTATTATACATCTTGATCGATGACCACAACTGACTCGATTTCGCCATCATGCAACGCTAATTGTGAAACTCACAGCAGAACCCCAATGCAGAATGCAGTCAGCTATTATATACAACAGGAGTTTATCTATATATATTATATATTAAGATGCTTGCATTTTGCAAGTCCATGGGATGTTTGGGTTCACCTGTGGTGTAGGGGATTTGCACTCGCCTCCGCCGAAGAAACCATGGCTAGCCCCCCTTTCTTGTCCTGCTGGAGCTCCAGCCCCTGGTGACGATCCATTTCATCTCTCGACTCTCTGCGATCGAAAACATGCTCGGCCTCCTCTAGCGACCGGCCCGCGGTCTCGGGGTAGGCGAACCAAACCAGCAGGGCGGCGGCCCAATTGAACGCGGCGAAGCAGTAGAAGTAATTGAAGCCCATGCGTGAGCGTGCGATCGGGGTGCACTGGGCGAAGATAAGGTTCAGACTCCAATTTGTGGCGGTGGCGACTGAGGCTCCCCGGGCGCGGATGGCGGTGGGAAAGATCTCGGACTGGTAGAGCCAGGATATGAGGCCCAGGCTGGTGAAGAAGACGGAGAAGACGAAGAACAGGGCGATGGCGGCGCGGACGGCGGTCGCCGGCGGCGGCGGGTCGGTGGTGAAGTTGCGGTAGGCTTGGCCGAGGGCGGCTTCGATGCACATGGTGGCGCCCATGCCCACGAGGGAGGGGAGAAGGAGGGTGCGACGGGGCACCCGGTCGATGAACAGGATGATGAAGACGGTGTTCCAGAACTGGGCGAGCGCGCCCCAGATGCCCTGGATCATGAGCGAGGTGGTCTCGGACAGGCCGAGCGAGCGGTAGAGGCTCGGGTTGTAGGTCGAGATGATGTTGGTGCCCGAGCACTGCGTGAAGGCTTGCATGCCGCAGGCGAGGAGGATGCGATGGCGCCAGGTCGCCGAGGTGAAGAGGAGAGCACGCCAGGTGCGCGGGGCGCGGCGTCGCTCTTCGGCGATGCTGGCCCGGATTTGCGCGTATTCGGTCTCGACGAGGGAGGTGTTGGCCGCGTGGAGGCGGGTGAGCGTGGTGCGGCCTTCATCGGTGCGACCCCGTTCGATGAGCCAGCGGGGGGATTCGGGGAGGAACCAGATTCCTCCGCTGAGGACGATCGCAGGCAGAGCTTGCAGGGCGAGCGGAAAGCTCCAGGTGAAGTTCCCTGTGCGGAGAGAGCAGCCGTATCCGACCCATTGCTGATGGAGAAGGTTAGAAAGTATATATTTTTCGGTGGTTCGAGCAACCTACTGCGACGACTGCCCCTAATCCAATCATCCATTGTTGGAGGGATCCTAAGAAGCTTCGGATTCGCGGGGGAGATACCTCACTCTATTCCAATTGATTGTCAGACTGATTTGAGGATGAGGGGATGGGGATGATGAGGAACAAGGGCTGGAGTAGTTGTGTAAGAGGACTTACACAGTAGACGGGGATGATGGATGACATCAGTCCCACCGACAGGCCGGCAATCAAGCGGCCAGCAATGAGCATGGCCACATTGACCGCGCCCGCCTGCAAAGCGGCCCCCAGGGTCGCCAGAAGACCGCCAACGAACAGCACGGGTCTCCTACCCCACGGGTCGGAGAGGTATGAGACAACCAAGGAACCTATGATAGCGCCGCCTGTCACAGGGTTGTCAGGTCTGTCAGTCCAATAATAATAATTGCATGGGTTGAGCGGGTGGGCCAAGTTAGCAGTAGATTGCAGGGAACCAGATGCACACACCGTTATACGAGGCGACGATCCCGCCCGTGGCGGCATCCGAAGGACTATGGAATCGGTGTTTGAAGGTCTCCTGGTCGATGACAGTGGAGATCACCCCGGAATCATATCCGAATAGGAAGGATCCCAATGTTGCGAACATACAACACGCGGTGACCAACAAGTAGGAAGAGGAGAACATGGTTTCAATTGGGAGGGGGGATTTCCTTTTGGGAAAGTGGGTTGTGGTTCTGGAAGAAGCTCGGGCGAAGCAGGATTGCGAGGCGAATACGAGCTGCCACGTGAAGCAGAATCCCGATTGCCGGACTCTGTTCTGTTTCTGATGGATGTTCTAATGGTTATATAAATGTTAGATCCATGGATCAGTGAACGACATTGTCATGACATGATATAGATGTTGCTGTTCAAGGCTTCGAGGGGGAGGGTTGCAAGCAAGTGCAGCGCTGAGCCGCGCTGAGCTGAGGTTGAATAATGGATTGGACGATAGTAGACAGACGACAATGGAACAATGGAACAACAGAGTACTGCACTAGAATGCAGGCGAAGTCCAGATCAGTGAGCAATTAGACAGATACTCGTAACTCAATAGAAGAGTGGGAGAGAGAGACAAATGACGCAGGAGTCTTTAGGCCATTCATTCCCTTACAAAAAATTAATAAGTCAATTGTGGAAGGACAATGGAAAAGACGTGGAACATGAATTTATGGCCTGAGGCATCCAAGCGGACTTTTCACCCTCACTCGCCCTTCGGCCTTGCGCGACCGAGGCTGACTGATAGAGTGCTCCGTACTAAGTAATCATAACTGGTCATATCGGCCAAGACGCCGAGGATGAAGGATTACTAACCGTGCCCTGATCCGTGGGAATATTCGAACTCTGTAAAGTAAGCACCTTCTATTTGATGGCATTAAATGAAAAGTGACTAAGAGAATTCATATGCTGACAGGGATCAGAAAACGAGTAGAACCAGCATAATGAACTAATGCTCGCCGATTGTCTTATGCTGATATACCTGCACATCGACAAATGCCGGCCAGTTCGCCGAAGCCAGCCCTACCTATGAGCCATTTTTCTTCTCTCACCTTCAACTCAGGGCTCTCACCTTCCTTTTCCGCCGTCGTTTTCTGGTTGCATGTGCTTAGTTTGGAAATTTGCTCTGTCTCCATTGGCTCATCTAGTCTCCTTTTCTCTCCCTCTGCTTCCCAGTTCCTCGCGATCCTGCTCCCTTTCCATCCCAATCCCTTCCTCTGTGTGCGCAAAGGGTCCCCCCGTCGCATTCGGTCGCCAGTAGAGGCTGCTACCCCTCCACCTCGACAAGGATCTCTCAACTGTGTCGAAAAGAAGAGAGTTGTCTTTAGAAACATCTCGTTTCCCTCCGAGAGACCAATGTAAATGGCCCCCTCCATTCAAGCTCGTATTTGCCCGAATGCTTGATTCTTTTGCTGTTCTACCTTTCCCTCTCTCGGATATAGCGTCCAATTCCCCGACGGGTCAATCGGTCTATACAGTACTATACAGTACAGTACAGACTATCAACTACCCCCAACCACTTTTCTTCCTCATCTGCCCTCTTCATCCATGATCCAGGTAGAGAGCAAAGGAAGAAGAGGCGGTAGATGGGGCAAAGGAAAATATGACTGTCATGGGATCGGAGGTCCGATGTATGATGATGCATGGTCTGGGCAATTTGTGGAGTTTTTTTTTGACTCAGCGCAAGTCTTACTAATAAATGCTTTCTTCCGCTGGTGCCCCAGACTAGAGAGACCCTCAGACAGACACTCAGACACTCAGACACTCAGCCAGAGAGAAACACAAACCAAGACTCCTCGTCTCTTCGACTCTTACCTACACTTACTCTTTCTTTTCCTACATACCAATACGTACACAGACTCTCCCTCTGTCCCTTTCTTTCTTGGCTTTCGACCTATCTTCCACCGCAAACAAGCCAGTGCCTGCGCTTTCGTGACGTGTCGATCTTCCTTTCACCCTCTCGGCGAACGATCCTCGAGCTGCTCTCTGCTCTCTGCTCTCGGTCCCTTCCTCCGTCCCTCCTCCCTCCCACTTCGTGGTGCCTTCCATGACCCTGTGAGACGCCAATTCCACACCCTCGTGGACGTGCGATCATTTATCGGCTCGCCACGCGGGTCGCCGTCCCCTTGCTGATCGGAACAGTTCCTTCCTCGTTATCACTTCCGATCGGATCTCCGACTTGCTCATACCCCCTTGCATGTCTTTGCGCCGACCGCCGTGAGATCGATCTTCTTCTGCTCCCATCCCCCACCCCCACGTCATCTGCCTCTCTCTCCCTCATGGCATCCCCTTCCGGTCCGTTAATCGCCGACCCTGCGAATGAGGACGATCCCTCTGCTGTCTCCGATTCGTTTTTTGCTTCCCATGACGATGTCGATCCCGCTGCCTCGGCCCTTCATGACGAAGATGATTTACCCATGAGGGACGAGGGGCTCAAGCCTGTCAAGGAACCGCTGCCTATGCAAAAGCGTCGCCGGGTAACGCGGGCCTGTGATGAATGTCGTCGCAAGAAAATCAAGTGCGACGGCAAGCAGCCGTGCACGCACTGCACGGTCTACAGTTACGGTAAGTCTCCGTTCTCCCTGTCGGACCTTACTTCCGCAACCCTTTCCTGGCTGTGGTCGCTCATCAGCTTCGGTCGTCCGCAGAGTGCACCTACGACCAACCTTCCAACCGTCGTCGCAACCCCGCCCCGCAATATGTCGAAGCTCTGGAAACTCGACTGCACAAAGCCGAGGCCCTGTTGCGCGTCGTGCTTCCGGATTTAAATCTGGACGATCCACAATTCGACGTGCATGCTACCGAGCAGATGCTGGGCGCCATCAAGCGTGAAAAACCCCCGCCTCCCCCGCAGCAACAGCAACAGCAACAGCAGCCGCAGCAGGAACCGGCTGCACCACCTGCACCTGCTGAGACGACGAACGGATCGCAACCCTCAGTCCCCGCCCCCGCTGACGATACGACCACGGACGGGGCTAATGGTGATGAATCGCTGCTTGAGTCGATGGTCGATAATTCCGGTTACCTCGATCTTGATGACCAGGGACATTGGGATTATCATGGACACAGTTCTGGTATGACGTTTATCCGACGCCTGCGGAAGCAGCTCGGAGCTTCCGACATGCCGCTGCCTACTCTCCGGTCGCGACCGGTCGCGCAAACGCTCTTCGACAGCCCCAAATCCGTATCTGAATCGCCGCAAGATGCGTCCCTGCCGCCTACTCATGATCTTCCCTCCCGGGAAATTGGCCGGCGACTATGTCACAACGCCTTGGACGATGCCTGCGCGCTAATGCGTTTCGTGCATGAACCTACGTTTTACACCATGTTTGATCGAATCTATGATACGCCATTAGACCAGTTTACCAACGAGGAGAATTCCTTCCTGCCGCTACTCTACATCGTAATGGCCGTCGGATGTCTGTTTTCTGACGATGGCTCCAGTACCTTGGACATCTCAGGCTACGAGGGTGCTATCGGGCAAGGGTAGGTCGCCTCTTGTCGGTCTGTTTGAGAAATAAACTAATTCGCGATTGCAGGTTTCAATATTTCAAAGCAGGTCGCCAGCTCCTGGAAATTACCGACTGCCGCGACTTAACCTCGCTCCAGGCCATCTGTTTCATGATTCTATTCCTGCAATCGTCCGCCAAACTTAGCACATGCTACTCTTATATTGGGATCGCACAGCGATCCGCTCTGCGATTAGGCCTGCACCGCAATGTGACGATACACTTTACCCCTCTTGAGCAGGAGATGCGCAAACGCATCTTTTGGACGATTCGCAGAATGGATGTCTATGTCAGCACCTTACTCGGGTTACCTCTGATGCTGAACGACGATGACATCGATCAAGTGTACCCAGAGCCGGTCGATTCGGAATTTATCACCAAAACTGGCATCCTACCCGTGCCTTCGGATCATACCCCGTTGATGGCTGGAGCGATCGCGCATACCCGGTTGACCAACATCACACTTAAGGTTGTGCAATACATCTACCCTGTGAAGAAAGCGCAACATCCTGTCGCATCGGATCAGCGCTATGTGGTCAGCCACTCCAAAATCCGGGAGATCGAGAGGGACCTTCAGGCCTGGATGGAAGAGCTTCCCGCGGCTCTGCGACCGGGGACGGAGGTCTCCCCACAGCTCGAGCGGTAAGTTATGTCTCTCCAGGGGTTGACTATTTGTCCTTACTGACTGTTTACAGCATCCGCCAACTACTCCGCATTAGTTACGCCCACGTTCAGGTCATACTCTACCGGCCCTTCCTTCACTATGTCTCCAGCGGCTCGCAAGCTCGAGGAGTGGACCGGCGATCCTACGCTTGCGCTGCGGCCTGTGTTAGTGTCTCACGCAACATCGTACATATCACGACGGGCATGCATAAGAGAGGGCTACTCAATGGATCGTTCTGGTTCACCATGTATACCACCTATTTCGCCATTTTGTCGCTGTTGTTCTTCGTGCTCGAGAATCCCGACTCTCCAACCGCAAAGGATGGTGTCCTCAAAGACGCCATGGAAGGCAAAAACACGTTGGCAGGATTAGCGAAGAAGAGCATGGCGGCAGATCGGTGCTCTCAGAGTCTCAATGGTCTTTTCAAGAACCTTCCGGAGCTGCTCAAGAATCGTCAGAGTGCGAAGAAGCGGGCGAGCTTGAAGCGGCCCGCCCCCTCGTCTGGCCACCACCACCGCCCACCTCCCGCCAAGAGCGCCGCGAGCGCCGCCGCCTCGGTGCCCTTGGAGATGCCACCACCACAGCGTGCCAACACTTTCCCCACGCAACTGCTCAGTCGATCGGTGAAGCAAGAGGCTAGCAATACCCCCAAGAGCTTCGATGACAGTGCTGCTAGCCGCAGTCCTGCTTCTAATGTGCGCCCAAGCCAGCCTTCAACGTGGATCCCGTCCACGCCCGAGATGGCTACTGATGCCGTGTCCACGCCGTCGGATATTGCATCCAACAACGACAGGACGCCCGCGTCGACAGGGGCATCTCCGGTATCCATGTCGCTCGCCTTGGGCGATGTCACACCAAATCAATTTGGGGCGCACGCATTCGCCAATCCCAGTCAGTTCCCAGATCTAATGCCCATCATGTTCCCATCGGACGACCCTTTTGCCTATCCGACACAACCGATGTCTACACTAGAGAACGATCACTTCGGCCAAGACCCAGCCAGCGCTACCACTGCCACCTCTTTCGCCCCTGGTTTGGCCTCCACGGCCGACGGCAGCACCGTCAGCACGATGGGAGTATCCACCCCCACATTGGACGGCTTCGGCAATTTCTCCGTCTTCTCCAGCGGCAATCCCGGGGCCATCAGCTCCAGTCTGCCGGGCCGCATGCCCAATCAGCCACCGCATCATATTAACCACTCGCGGCTGCAGTCGCCCGTCTCCCATGGAACCTCGACCCCTGTCAACGGCGCCGAAGCCGTCAACAGCCCCGATCTGGTCTCCCTGCCTAACCAGAACTTCATCTGGCAAGGCTACAACTTCCAGCCTCCCAGTAATATCCCAACGGAGATGATGACTGCGACAGCCACGCCGACCGGATTGGGTCAATTCGGAATGGGCGCGCCCGACCCCACGTCGCTGGGCGTCGGATTAGACCTGGGCCTCCCGCTTGATGATATTTTCGGCAATACCGATGCATGTCGGCCCGGCGGCTTCAGTAATGAGGAATGGCTTCAGTTCATGAATGCCGGGAATTAAAAAAAAATCGAATTCCTGAATCCGAAAAGAAAAAAAGCAAAAGAAGAAGTACTAATCAAATACCCATATGTTTGTATATGCCGTTTCTTGGTCTGGACCCATGAAGATCATAATGTTATGAAGGCATTGCGTGGGGGGAGTTCTCTGGGCGGCGTTCGGTTGTTGCTTGGGATTGACATGAGTTTCCTTTCTGTATTCCTTGGTTATTTGCACCACGGGATTGGCATCTCTTTTGTGCTCGATATTTTTTCCTGTTGACGTTGCTAATTCTTTGAATATGATTGATGATCTATATATCACAGGTTATGTTGTATACATTCTAAACTTACCTATTGGAATTTCGTCTTGCCGGTGCATGACCATCTCTGCCGTATCGTACATATTTTCGAACATATATCTCTCTCTCCAAAGAGGTGTATCCAACTAGAATCTGGGAAACGGGCTCAACCTCTCCTCCGCCGAGGGGGCTGATACCAGCTCCAAATATTCAATCCGATCTTCGTTCCGGAGGTGACCGGGAACGCGGCATGCCACGTCTCCGGATATCCCGATCCATCCGGTCGCAGGTTCTCCCAGAAGATGGCATTGCCTTTGATGGGCTTGAATGTAACTCCCTGCGAGGCAGCGGCAGCGGCAGCATGGCTTGGCTCGCCATCCTTAGGCTCCCCTCCTGGAGGGGCAGCAGCAGCGGCATCATCCGCAGGGCACTCCACAAACCGACACCATTCGCGGAGGGCCGCGGCACTCCGAGGCATCCTCAGCCGCGGAAAGTTTGTGCCTCCACCCTCGCAGTCATCCCCCAAGTAGACCATAAATGTGCTGAGGCGGTCCCCGCCACGGGCAGCGGATCCGGCCCAGTCATAGTGGTGGACGTAGTGGCCGGAGGTGTTGTAGCGTTGCGCCCACATGCGTTCAATGTAGAGGTGCGGTTTCCAGCCCTGGAATGCGGCGGCGCGGGCCTCGAGGCATCGGACGGTGTTGTCGCGGGGGAGAAGAGCGCGGTCGGAGAGGCGGCGGGTGGCATCGTGAGTTGTGTTTTGGCCGTTGTAGATCGTGGAGAGAGTGTAGTTCGATTTACTTTCTAGGTGTCAGCTTTCCGTTGGTGATTTCCTAAGGGAATTGTGCTTGGGGAATTGGTTGAGATGAGATCAAAGCACTGTGGCCGGGATGGAATGGTTTTTGAGTGGGAAAGCACCTTAGATTGACGATGTGGTCCGTTTCTTCCGCCGACAAGAAATCCTCAATATATATCACCAATGGATCCTTCTGCAGGAGGTGAACTCGGTAATTGTCGGGCGCACAATTCGGAATGACCCCATCTGGAAGACTCAGGATATCCGGGTTGAGGGTGAGGCCCGAATCGGGCTCGGTCCCGTCGGCATCGAGGTCGAGGTCGAACAGATTCCCTGCGGATGAATCGGGCAAGAGTTGGCGGAGGAGCGGCGCGAGAACAAAGAAGTATGCGGGGAGAAGATAGAGCAGCGACGAGAGGAGAGTGGAAAGGGAGAATTTGGGCATATTGATCAAATCCCTCCCGCGGTGGTTTGATTGTCGGATCCCTATTCTTGCGGAGGGCTCGGCAGGAGATGGATAATTGATCTGATAACTCAGTCTGTGCATTAGAGTTATGCAAGTACATTAGTAGATATGCAACTTGGTGAGCATGTCCTTTCATGATTAGTCACGGCGTCGGGAATTTGTTCAGACGCCGCATATAAGCCGAGAGACTGTTGTCTCCGAGGAAGAACCATTTGGTCCGGTCGACTCCAACGAGTTTTTGCGTTTATCCTACCTCCTGGTGTAGTCAGCACACACAGGCCATGTTGATCAAGAAGGTTTTCCCATGCACGCGACAATGCTCGCCTGCGCGGACAAGCGATGGCTCCGCTCATACTCGAGGGGCCTTCTCCACGCGGTCTGGAGTCTCCAAACACCATGGCGTCATGGAGTAATCCGGAGTCAAAGGATCTTCACCGCTGCTTTCGTCATGCTGTCCAGTGAGGAACAAAGACAGAACCTAAAAGGAACCATTGATGATTGCATGCGGAGACTCCGCGTTTTCAGTCTTCCAGAACCAGCGTCAAGGCGGAGAAGCGTTCTTGAGCCCGCGTGGGTGGTGCGGGTGAGCGCCGACCCCGCCGTCTAAAGGGACTTCCGGTCAGCTGACCGCTAATCTTCTTCAGGTTAGTAGGATTAGCACTATCGCTCCTTCGCATTGATGGAATTGTGTTTGACTTACCTTATGTAAATCGACTTGCTCATGGCTGAATTAAGCCTCGTGTGCGTTGCCCGTCTCGGTTAGCGCACATTCACCGGCCTTTCCTTCGTCTTCGGCAACCTTCTGCTCCTATCCGAAGCTCTACGTAGCACTATACGCTGCATTTCTTCTCGGGCAGATCTGGCAGGTCTGAAGACAACACATCTCGTACACAATACCTACATTATCTGCGCCACTGCATCGCCATGTCAACCAGCTTTTAGCTTTTGACCTTCCAATATACCCGTTGACTGGTGCCCGATCCACGGCGAACTAAAGCTTGATCGGCACCAAAGTTATGCACGTTCCGGCTTAGTCGGCTCTCTTCCGAGGAAGGACTCCATCAAGGAATGGGGTTAAGGCTTCATCCCGTCATCATGACTGGCCTAAACATGATTACGAAGAACATTGGGAGGGGAGTCAGAAACCGGCTAAGTCCTCTCTTGAACTCGACAGGGGCATCGAAAAGTCGCTTAACCCTGATTGTGGACCTCCCTGAGTTGGGCCAATTCTCAAACTCCTACGCTCTGATTCGCAGAAGAGCCGACATGAGGCGAAGCCGAAGGCATCGATGCTGGGCCGTTCCAGACAACAACGAGATCGGCACTCCGAGTTCGCGAGTCTGGTAGAGATAAGGCTCTTTAAGGCCGAGTTTAAAGTTCGTCTGGGAATGGGTTGGTCCACCGGCAAAGTCTTCACCGTGGCCAAGTCGCCACAGGCTCGCTACCTTGGAACGTGCAGGGCCCAGTCAGCAATCAGTCATTTCCCATGAGGGTTATTTGCTTTCGCAGGCGCCGGAACAGTCGGGTAAATGTCCAGTCTAAAGGGGGCAACCAGGATTATATGCCTTCTCCTCGTGCAGGGAAATTTTCTAACCTTCGCCCCCACACCCTAAATCTGCGGCTGAATGTTTCCTTCGCAAGAACTTCTCCGCGCCGGCTAAGCGAGACATAGTCAGTCTGGGGAAAACTCTCCCCCGACCCAGTTTCCCACATCACGAGGCGACCTTTGTGGGAATCAAGGCAATAGTTTGCATGATAAGGACCAATTAGCTGCTTGCTTGACGTATCAAATGCGTGCTATTCACAAGAACCCCCATGTTGAGTCTCCCCAGATGGGGTTTCGGTCAGACGTGGATTGTGGAGAGCGTTCGACGAAGAGGAGAATCCACACGGTTCAGCGTTGATGCGTCGCTCACTGTAGATGATTACTTTAGGGGCCCGGCCCGTCTCGACCAGTTTTTAAATCTTCCTCAACTTCCGCCTTCAGAACTTTCTCTGCCCCATATCTACTTCCATCATCTCCCCCTTTCTTGTCTCTGTTGGCAGGAAGCCTTCTTTTTTTTTTCTTTCTTCCTTTCTCTTGGTCTTTTCACCTTCAAGAGATAACTGGGACTTGTTCATAGGTCTTCACATCTCTGCTCTTCTTTCTCCCCTCCTCTCCCCTCCCTCCCTTCCTCCTTCTCTCGCCCCCTCATAGCAATGGGTGGCATTCTCCACCTGGTCGAGGATCGGCCTACGCCGAAAGCTGTTTACAACTGGCGAGTGTATGCATTGGCTGCCATTGCATCATGCGGTTCTCAAATGATCGGGTACACCAGTGGTTTCATCGGCACGACCATCACATTGGACTCTTTCATGACCGAGTTTGGCCTGGACAAGAAGACTAGCTCCGAGAGAGACTTGATCAGCGAAAACATTGTCTCTCTCTTCATTGCTGGTGCTTTCTTCGGAGCTCTGCTCACCTATGGTATCTCGTACTATGGGGGACGCAAGTGGAGTTTGACCATCGCTTCGGCTGTCTTCGTTCTCGGAGCGGGTTTGCAGTTGGGAGCCAACAGTTCAACCGGTCTCGGCATGCTTTATGCGGGCCGTGTGTTGGCCGGTCTCGGCACCGGAGTTGCCTCCAATATTGTCCCGATGTACCTGTCCGAGCTAGCCCCTCCCGCCATTCGTGGTCGTCTTGTTGGTTTGTATGAACTTGGCTGGCAAGTTGGTGGCATGGTCGGTTTCTGGATCAACGTAAGTTATTCGTCCGCGCAATACGGTCTTGATGCTACCCAGCACCTTTCCCTACTCCTCCAGGAACCAGGGCCTTCAAGCTAACCTTCCCTGCTTCTAGTATGGTGTTGAGCAAACCATTCCTGCCAGCCACAAGCAATGGGTCATTCCGTTCGCTATTCAGATTATTCCATCAGGAATGCTTTTCCTCGGCTCTCTGTGGATGAAGGAATCTCCCCGTTGGCTGTTTACCAAGGGCCGCCGCGAGCAGGCCATTGCGAACCTGTGCTGGGTCCGTCAGTTGGAGCCCACTGATATCTATATCACCGAGGAAATCGCTGCTATGGATCAGAGTCTCGAGGAGCAAAAGGCCACCATTGGTGTCGGTTTCTGGAAGCCCTTCCAGGCTCTCGGTCAAGCCAAGAACCTGCAGTATCGCCTGTTCCTGGGATGCATGCTCTTCTTCTGGCAGAACGGCTCTGGAATTAACGCAATTAATTACTATAGCCCGACCATTTTCGAAAGCATTGGTGTTCAGGGCAACACGAAGGGAATTTTGAACGGTATCTTTGGTGTCGTCAAGGCTGTCATCACCATCGTCTGGCTGCTTTTCCTGGTTGACCAGCTCGGTCGTCGCAAGCTGCTGCTTATCGGTGCGGTTTGTGGCTCAGTCTGCATGTGGATCATTGGCGCGTACATCTGCGTGGTGGAGCCTACCAAGCATCCCCAAGACCACCTCAACAGCGGTGGTATCGCGGCTATCTTCTTTTTCTACCTCTGGACAGCCGTCTATACACCTACTTGGAACGGTACTCCGTGGGTCATCAACGCGGTATGTTCTTTTGTGTTTTTTCTGTCATATTCTGCACAATCCACTGACTGGTCTGGACAGGAGTTCTTCCACCCCAACATCCGTTCCGTGGCGCAGGCCGCCACCACTGCCAGTAACTGGCTTTTCAACTTCCTGGTCTCTCGGTTCACGGAGCAGATGTTCGAGAAGATGGGATACGGCGTGTACTTCTTCTTTGCCTCCCTGTCGTTCCTGGCATTCTTCTTCGCTTTCTTCCTCATTCCGGAGACCAGTGGTATCCCGCTGGAGGTTACCGATCAGCTGTTCAAGATCAAGCCGATCTGGCGGGCCCACTCCATCCTCAAGGAGCAGCTCAAGGAAGAGGAGGAGCGCTTTCGTGCGGAGATCAAGGATGGCATGTTTGACAAGCCCGAGCCCCAGGAGCACCTGGAGAACACGAAAGCCGCATGATGATGGAGTTTGTCGATTAGCCCGTTTTGCTTTGATTTCGGTTTTTACACCTAGACGGATTGTATATATGTGAACGATAGATCATAGACCTGGATATATATTATTTTTTCTCTTTTTGGACATCTGCATCTGTTGGTAGTGAAGTGGTTGAGTTGGATCAACAAAATACCCAGTTAAACGAGTGACATCAAAAATGACTTAGCCTCTTTTATCTCAACGCACTTGAGTTGTTTTCTTTTCCCTCCTTCGAACCTGTCCGAAATAACTAACCCTTGTAATGCATGATGGCGAAATGTGGATGCCTAAAATTCTCCGCTGACTATGTTGCAGGAGGGCCCTGCATAATTTTCCCCAAAAGACGGCCCCGGTTGGATTGATCATCGAGTCCCCCCAAAGACAAAGAGAAGGGGGAGGGCACCGCCACCCCGGGGTAAAAAAGCCAAGCCAAGTGTGCAGTATGTACAGTCCAGTACCTACACTACAGCCATTCCCTCGCTCCGTGACGCGATCGGGTTTGGAGGGGGTTTCTTCAGCGGTCGAACTGCAGGTGACTCGCATAATTCTTGATTTCCTTCAAGGTTGGTGGTGTCACCTTCCAAGACGGGGGGGGGAAGCGACTTGGAGCCTTGGGAAGAGACATTTCCAACCTTGAAGCGTTCGTTAGTCTTCTAGGTACTACAGGGGGAAAAGCTTTTTTTCCTGTTGTTTCCGCGGGTAAGTCAGGTCCAATGCTTCAACCTTCGATATACATTTACAGCAACTGTGCGGGGATGGTAGGTTATGAATGAAAGTTATGAAATTTCGTGGATGTATTCAGGGCTTGGGGGAGGTCAGTTGAATAGCTGGATGGACTATTTTAGTAAAATTCACGGCTCGGAGTGAATGAACTTCCGACTCAATAATCAGAATACGGAGAAGGGACTGAGAGGGGTAAACCGACCCAGTTAGTAATTTAGTATCCACTAGCTGAGTCGAGTCTTTTCTGTACTACCATTTGTGGTAGAAGTAGGTATAGTAGTCAGTCCACCTGTCACTGTCCCATGAGTGGTACAGTACATACAGTTTGTTGTATGTACAGGGGGGACACTTGACTCTCTTGACTCTGAAAGAAATGGGTGGTGGGTGGTGCATTTGCATGCAAATGCCGCTCCCCTGGGCTCCCCCTCCCTCCTCCCCGGAGAAGCCCGGGACCATCTGACTAATGACCAACGAAAACAAAAAAAAAAAATTGAAATAAAAAACACCGAAAAGAAAATCAAGGTTCCAAGAAACCCAAGAGTCCAAGAAGTCCAAGACCTGCACCCTCTCTCCTCGGGGTCCTCGGGGCGGGAAAAGAAGCGCCAAGAGAGGTAGGGGGAGAGAGGAATTACTTGGTATGTTTTGGTATTTTGGCCACCCGGTCATTCTTGACTTCGTGGTGGACGGTTCGAGAGCGAAAACAAGGATCAGACTTTCACATAAGATGAATCCAACTATAGTAGAGCTAAGTACTCCGTATTGTACAGTACAAAGTAAGTACCTAGTGAGGTGTTGGTTGGAATCGTAATAATAATCCGTTGGCTGGTGCTTCCTTCCCTCACGGCTCCAAATGTCAGACACGAGAATAGGCTCCACAGGTCTTTGCGGAAAAAGGAAAGGCATCGATTCCTGCAACTACTCGACCTTCCAGAGTTCCAGTCGCCATTTCTACGAGGTGATAATAAGCAGGCAGAGAAGGAACGGGGGGAGAGAGGGAGGGGGGAAGCGCAGGACGGAGGCCAAGAAGGGTAACTTGGCCAACTTGGCAAGTTTTCTTATGCGGGGGGGGAAAGGGACTACCAGGACTAGTCACTCTGTCCGTCGGATTGTCAGACAACATTATTATCATGGCAGCTAAGCAGCTAAGCAGATAAGTCACGGTCCCTAGATCATAGTAGGACGGACTAAGTTCAGTCAGTCAGCCAGTTGGTCCCATGTGTCAATACGGGGGCGAGGGAGAACGGTTATTCGAGGCTTCGTTCAAGCCCACTAGGACTAGTTTCGAATCCCTTAAGCTCTAACCATTCCGGCCGGCACTAAGTTAGTATTAGTTGGGAAACTAATTTTCGCGGTGGATGGTGGGTTTTGTGTCCGTGGGGGGAAATGAAGGCAGTTAGTCTAAAGATTGACAGTAAGATTGAGAATGTTCTCAGCATGAATCAGAGGTATGATATCAGCCTAGACATAAACAGATGTCCTGGCAGTGGTGTAAACTTTCTGTAACTACTAGGTAGTAAGTTACTAGGTAGTTAGTTACCTGAGTGTAAAAAGGAAAAAAAGAAAAGAAAGAAAAAAAAGAGTCAGAAAAAGAAGAAGGGCCAGACGATGCCATGCCACGCCACGCAGCCCCGCACGGTGTGTCTTGGCCCGGACAATGCCCAGTCCTGGCTTGGGCTTCTTGTCTCTTTTTCTCCCCTCCGCCCGGTTGAGTCTTCGCCTTTTCTAGGCAAGGCTCGTCTCTCGCTCTCTCTCTCTCTGTCTCCTCGGCTCGGCCCCAAGACTTTCCTCCCCTGATTCTCTCTTCTGAAGGGCCCCTCCCCCCTCCTCCTCCTCCTCCCTCCCTCCCTCCCCTTTCCATCTCTTTTCTTGTTCTGACTCTTACAAACATCATCTTCCGTCTCTTTCTCCATCATTCTTGTTTGATGTCCCCCTGGTGGTCTCCATCTATACAGTCCACCTACCTATACTTCTCTTTATATTCCAAACTACAATTACTATATTGAATCAGTATAAATTACTGGGCGCTTTCCCCACCTTTTTCGGTTACTTGACTTGACTAGGCTGCGGTATCGGTGCGCGTGTCTGACTCCCTCTTTGTTGTTCAACGAACGCTCTCACCGCGTCTCGAGTCTACCGACCGTCTTAGCCTACTTCTGCCTTCTTCTACTTCCCCGTGGGATATACAACTCTCATCGGTTCATTAACCACCGGCTCTTGTCTCTGTTTGACGTATTTGTTGATTATATCCCCGTTGGGGTATTGTGTTGAGTCGCTTGTCTACTTCCGCTGGCATCCCAAGACAGGGACAAGAAACAGAATTTTCTTGGCAATGTCGGAACCCCAAGACACCACCACCACCACCACGGCCCCTTCGACGGCGGCTCCCCCCGTGCCTGCACCTGCCGCCCAAGAGCCTGCTGCTCCCCCTCAACAACAATCTCCTCAGGTCTCATCGGCTACCGCTGCGTCGGCTGCTGCAACTGCTGCTGCTGCGACTGCTGCCGTTGCTAGCCCTCCCATTAACGGCACCACCACTCGCCCGGCCGAGGAACTGTCCTGCCTGTGGCAGAACTGCTCTGAAAAGTGCCCGTCTCCCGAAGCTCTCTACGTAAGTTGTCTCGGTTTTTCTTCTTCTTCTTCTTCTTATTACTTTGCTAGTTCATGCTCTTCTCGTCTGGCTCTGGCTCTGAGGCACCTTCGAGTAACCGGCCACGTGTCGGCTCGACCGGTCATAATCATGGGGAAACGATCCGCCGCTGACCGCTCTGGTGCTATAGGAACATGTGTGCGAGCGTCATGTCGGTCGCAAGAGTACAAATAACCTCAACCTGACCTGCCAATGGGGTAGCTGTCGGACGACGACTGTCAAGCGCGATCACATCACCTCTCACATCCGTGTCCATGTGCCGCTCAAACCACACAAGTGTGATTTCTGTGGCAAGGCTTTCAAGCGTCCCCAGGATTTGAAGAAGCACGTCAAGACCCATGCTGATGATTCCGTTCTGGTTCGCTCCCCCGAGCCTGGCTCTCGGAACCCGGACATGATGTTTGCAAGTGGCGCTAAAGGTATGCGACCGCATATTTACCCTTCGGGCGTTGATCGACTGACGCATGCTGTAGGGTACGCCGCGGCTGCTCATTACTTCGAGCCCACAATCAACCCAGTCCCTAGCCAGGGTTACGCCCATGGTGCTCCTCAATACTATCAGTCTCACCCACCGCCTCAACCTTCCAACCCATCCTACGGCAATGTCTACTACGCCCTGAACCACGGCCCGGAAGCTGGACACACCTCGTACGAGTCGAAGAAGCGTGGCTACGATGCTCTGAACGAATTCTTCGGTGACTTGAAGCGCCGCCAGTTTGACCCGAACTCGTATGCGGCTGTGGGTCAGCGGTTGATGGGGCTACAGAGTCTGTCGCTGCCCGTTCTGAGCAGCGGACCTCTGCCCGAATACCAAGCGATGCCTGCCCCCGTGGCTGTAGGTGGCGGTGGATATAGCCCTGGAGGCCATCCCTCCGCTCCGTCGTATCACCTGCCCCCAATGAGCAACGTGCGCACCAAGAATGATCTTATAAATATCGATCAATTCTTGCAGCAAATGCAGGATACGATCTACGAGAACGACGACAACGTTGCCGCAGCGGGAGTTGCCCAACCCGGTGCTCACTATGTCCACGGAGGTCTGAGCTACCGCACCACTCACTCGCCGCCAACACAGTTGCCCCCTAGCCATGCGACAGCTACGACAGCGGCTAGCGCCATGATGCCCAATCCAGCCACCCACTCTCCCTCCACCGGCACTCCTGCCCTCACGCCTCCTTCCAGTGCACAGTCCTACACCTCCGGTCGCTCCCCGATCTCTCTCCCGTCCGCCACTCGTGTGTCGCCACCTCACCATGAAGGCGGCCACATGTATCCTCGCCTACCTTCGGCTACCATGTCTGAGAGCATGACAGCAGGCTATCCGACCACGTCGGGGGCGGCACCGCCTTCCACATTGGGGGGTATCTTCGATCATGATGACCGGCGTCGATATACCGGTGGCACGCTGCAGCGCGCGCGCCCAGAGCCCCGCTCCATGCCTGATGCCATGGACTTGTCGCAAGACAATGAGAAGGCAGACGGCGAGCGCACCCCTCCCGCTAAGGGGCGAGCATCCTCACTGTCACCCAAGAGTTTCTCGGCTAGCCTAATCGACCCTGCGCTGTCGGGAGCGGCTGCTGAAGCCGAAGCGACGCTTCGGACCGCCCAGGCGGCGACCGAGGTGGCGGAGCGGGCTGATGTGCAGTGGGTGGAAAAGGTCCGGCTGATCGAGTACTTGCGTAACTACATTGCTTCCCGGCTGGAACGGGGCGAATACGAGAACGAGTCCCAGCGAATCCGCGACGAACGGAGCCCGGAGTCAGCCTCGGGGAGCCAAATGGAAGGGGTGGAGATCACGCCAGCCGAAGCGGCACCAGCCAAGCCGGGAGTGAGGTCGGAGGCAGGGGATGCAGTGATGTACCCGACGTTACGAATGGACGAAGATGGCGATTCCAAGATGCCCTGAGGGCGGTGGCTGGGATTGGCTGAGGTGATCTTCTGATGTTACTCCGGGCATCTCTTGACCGGCGGTTCATACTCGTGATTTTTCTTTCTATAGGGTACCTTTGGTGCTTCTCCCCACTTTCCTCTTTCTGTTAATTATTTACGGCTATGCTACGAACGACTTGTTCTGGGCGATTGCGGGTTAGGTTTGATTCTGCTTGTTTGCTATTCCCAATGCGTCGGAGAACCGGATTGGCCTCGGTAGGCAGGCGGTCCTGGTGAGTCGAAGTATTATTTGTGTATATGATGAACCTGTATTTACTTGGGAGAAATCCATGGACTCGGTTATTGATCAGTAATGCGATCGAAACCATGTTGTTTTTGTTGTTGACTTCCGCAGTGGTTGTCCTATTATTGTATAGCGTCGTCTTTTCCCTCTAGATCCGGAGGGAGGGGAAGGAAGAGTGGGAAGGGGAATCCAGGGCGAGAGATTGCAACGAAGATGTTACCTGTCGGAGTAGCCTGAAGAGGGGATCCGCATTCCACACGAGCTGCACGCGGACACCATGACGCAACCAGTCTGAAGGGTAAACTACTGGCCTTTGCCTAATCCGGGGATGGTCGAGACCAGCGGGTAGCAGCAAGTTAAATTGTGTATACGTTGAAGCTGAGGAGGAGATGATGATGATGATGATGATGATGATGATGTTATTGTTGATGATGACGATGCTGGTGGATGGTCCAACCCTCCAACCCGCCCGCGCATCCGATCAACTCCGCCTCGCTGACTCTGGTCCGCCCTCCTCGTACGGAGTAGATAGACTTTGGGGAAAGGAGGCTTATAGAACTTGGGTGGGTTTCATCATAGATAACCACAGAGCACCCTGCCTGGTTGACGGATTGCTCTTTTCAAGAATTGCAAGAATTGAGAGGGGAGTTCAAGGACAGAAACTGCATCCGGCAAAGGGTCAACAGCGGGCCATCTTGATTAAACATGGTCTGTTTGTGATGTTGCTTTGCTTGCTTGTCTGCTTGCTTGTTGGGATCCACTGTCTGTTTACGGCGTCGTATTTGGATGTAGTAGAATTGTTTACGGAGTAGACCGTATATAATAGGATCCGAGGGAAGGAACCAAGGGGGGGGAGAAAGTTAAGAGGAGAAAGGAGGAAAGGAAGAAAGGAAGGAAGAGAGCGAAGAGTGAGAAAGAAAAAAAGAAAAGGTGAAAGGGAGGAAGATTGTCTGACTATTTACTTATCTTCGCATTGCAAGTACAATTGCAATTGTGTTGGTGGAAGAACAAGCAATCCCGAGGATTTTTCCTAGTGATTGCAACTAAACTACTCAATCTGGCAGTGACGGCACCTTTCAAGGTTCAATCAAGTTCATTCCCCTTCATTCCCTTCAGTTGCAGTCCCACATGACTGACTGATTGATTGACTGCACTGTTTGATTGATCATTGATCGATCGATTGATTGATTGATTTGACTGACGGGCTTAGAATTGGATTGACTCGGGAGCGTTTCTTTCCCATCTCATCCATCCTATTCCCTTGTGGCTGATTCATTCGCAGCGTCATCATCATCATCATCACTACTACTTTCTACTGCTGGCTGCTGCTTCTACTACTTCTTCACTTCACCACTTACTTCCACATACAATCTGCTTGTCTCGATCCTTTCCTCCCTTCTTTCCTTTTGTTCCTCTCTCCCTCCTCCTCCTCCTCCTCCTCCCTTTCTTTGATTTATCATCTCTTCCTTTCTTCTCCCTCTCCTGCCACCACCCCAGCCCTATTGAACGTGCTTGGCGCAAACCCGACCTCCCCTCCTCTTCCCTCCCACTTCCACTCCCCCCCCCCACGGTGGCTGGCCACTCTCTCTCGCAGCCCCCCTCCAGTCCCGTCTCACTCACTCGCTACTTTTCCCTTCTCTCTCACTAGTCACGACTCACGGTCAAATCGCGTCTCGTTCGTGCGCGGTGGCAAACCGTACCCTTGGGTCAACAACCCTGGACCTGCCATCCCGGTTTCCATTCGTCCTACTCCGTACTGTTCTTATTTTCGGTTGTTCGTCACGGGTGTTCTCACTCTTCAACGTCTGCGATTTTCTCTTCCCTAATCTCGTATTGTTGCCCCGGCCACTTGCGACCCTTCTCCACCACGACCACAACTGATTACACTACCACCGACGATAACAACAACTCATCTCGCTCCGCAACGCTTCCCACGATAACTTCTCCGAGCCCCTCCATCATCAACAACAACAACCACCACAAACGATCGCCTGCCTGCGCCGCTTTCCATCGCTCCGTCTGTTTTTGCACCATGCCTCTATCGAACCGCCGCCGCGCGCGGCGCAAGGAGATTCAGTTACAAGAGACATCCGACGCAGAGGCCCCGGATTCATCGCCGACGCGACCGTCAAATAAGAAGCGCAAGGTGAGTGCTCCGCTGAACAACGATCAACGTCTTGACAAGAACCGTCGATTAACTGTCTACTGTTGCGGTCAGGTCGAACATTCTCGAGTATCCCCACAAACGCGCCCGATCAAGCCCGAGTCCGCCGACGAAGCCGACGATGACCAGGACCTGTCGGAGAATCAAGACCTCGTTGACCTGGTAATCTCATATCTCGAGGCTGCACGCGAAGAGGTTCGAGTCCATCGCGACTATTCCAATACGAAGACGGAGGCAGAGCAGAGCATTCGCGCCTACGCCAAAATTGCCGGTCGCAATTGGACTTACTATGTAAAGACCCTCCATGTCAACATCGGTCGCGAACCCGACCGCGAGCAGAAGCTAGATGAGCAGTCGAGTCCGGTCACGATTGCCGCGCGCGCTCTTCCGGAGGTGAATGTCGATCTGGGCCCCAGCAAGTTCGTCTCGCGCTTGCACGCGGAGATTTTCTACGATGGTGAGGACACGGGCTCATGGCACATCCGTGTCAACGGTCGCAACGGGGTGCGCCTCAACAGCGTCATCCTCAAGCGCGGAACCGACGCCGTTCTCTCTTGCGGCGATATCATCGAGATCGCCAACACCCAGATGATGTTCGTCACCCCGGGCGACAAGGCGACCATCCACCCCAGCTTCGTTGATCGAGCGCAGCGACTGGCGAACGGCGAGGAAGAGCCTGCCACCTGGGACGCCAGCCAACACGCCCATCCTCATGCTTCTCACTCATCGACCAACACCGCTGGGACTACCGCACCCGCTCCGCCATCATTGGCACCCGCACCGCAATTCCTCAAGCGCCAAGTGACCCCTCCTCCACGGTCGCCCGACACAGTGGGGGCCCGTACTGCCAAGCAGTCCCCTCTGTATAACCGCGGTATGATGATGGAGAGTACGGAAGAGATTGATTATAGCAAAGACTCGGCCAAGGACCTCAAGCCGCCGTACAGCTACGCGAATCTGATCGCCCAGGCCATCTTCTCCAGTGAGGAGGAGAAGCTTACCCTTAACAATATCTACAACTGGATCATGGACAAGTACGCTTTTTATCGGCATTCTCAGAGCGGTTGGCAGGTGAGCGTTCACTTCAGAATTGGAGGTATTCACAGTGCTAACCGGTTCCAGAACTCGATCCGTCATAATTTGTCGCTGAACAAGGCGTTCCAGAAGGTGCCGCGACGCACAGACGAGCCGGGCAAGGGAATGAAGTGGCAGATTGCACCCGAGCACCGCGAGGAGTATTGGAAGAAGCAGCTGCGGAAGGGCACGCAATCGTCGGCTCCATCATCACCTGCAACCAAAGTACCCGATCGCCGGGGCTCCACCAACGGCATGGAGGCCGTATTTAACAGCAAAAAGTCCCCACCAGTATCGTCCCCCGGTTTCAGTTCATTCCCAGTGGCTCCAGTCGAGGCGTACACTCCCGAACGAGGATCTCGTGCCAGCCGCAATGGAGCAGCGGAGCACAATTTACGCCCACCCAACACACGTGACTATGAAGAGCCTTCGCCGCTCCCAACCCGGTCAGCGACGAAGAACGCGGGTAGCAATGGGACCAGTCTCAGTCGAACATATGGGTTGTCGGACGCGGCCGTGGGATCACCTCCAGTACTGTCATCGTCGTACTATGATGACGGTCCATCGTCAATGATTACACCCGCCCCACAGCGGCAACAGCCGCGCCTGCCCCCTCCGAGCACGGCGCAAATACCATCCAAGTTCATGCCAATGAGCTCACCGGCGCAGTTCTGGAAATTTGCGGATATTGGCAGCACGCCGGCGCGACCGTTACCTGACATGAGTCCGCTCAAGGGAGACCCCGGGGATGTCCTAGGCAGTATCCCGAGCAGCAGTCCGCCACCCCCCAACCTCGCAAGTCCTAGTAAACCAGGAACAACAGGTATGGCTACCGGTCGTGTGTTGCCGCCACCACGGCGAGAGCCTGAGCCACAGGGTGGTCGTCGTCCTGCCCCTGGAGCGGGAGAAGAGGAGGAGGACGAGAGCGGGTTTGATTTGGCGAGGTAGGCAATTATTTTTAACGTCATAGGTTTAATGGCAGAAACTAACCGCAGCTTGCAGAGGCTTCCAAACGATCGGATCATATCATCGCCAGCTGAGTAATGCGGCGCGTACAAGTGCAGCGACGTCGTGAGGAGGAATGGCTTGTTTGCTTTGCTTTTGTTATTCATTTGCCAGAAAGGCATCCACGACAAAGATCGGGAGGGATTATGGGACCATGGCTGTATGTATTGATGTAATTGTAGATATTGCTAATGATTTGATGTCGTCCTTTTTGTGTCTTGTTAGCCACTAAGGTTGTATACTGTACATGTATATATACTCCAATTGCTTCTGCTGCTCATTCATATCTGCTCATACCTATTTACATGTCAACCCTGTCCATCACATACATGCATACGTACATAGATACATACCCCTAGAAGCTACTGTACACATCAACAAGCCCCCGAGAACCACCCCGCCCTCGAATCTAAACCTCCGGCCAAAACTGCCCCTCCAACCAAACCACCTGCCTCCACCACCGCGCACACCGCTCGAGCACCTCCTCCCACGCCTTCCCCGGGCCCGCCGAACTCCGCTGCACCTCGCGCTCCGCCACTTTATCAACCAAGCGCGTAATGCCCTCCACGAACTCCTCGAACTCGGCACACGTCCAATTGGGGATCAACTTCTCGCGCAACGCACCCCCATCCGCATCCTCCCCCCGGTTCTTTTCCCGTGGCATCGCCGCCCGCACATTCCGCCACACGGTCAGATAACACACCTCCGTCGCCCAGAGCACGACCAACCCCTCTAGCAAGGACGTCCCCGCCGATCCCGCCGAGATAAAGAGATCCGTGTACGCGGTTGTTATGGGCGAGGCGGTGAAGGTGCCGGCGGCTGGTGCTGCTGGTGCTGGTGCTGGTGCTGGTGCTTCCCCGGGTTCGGGGTGGGGGGCCTGGAACGGCGTGTTCAGATCGAGGGCGTATTCGTCGGCGACGGCGACGAAGAAGTCGAGTTCGCGGACGATGTTGGTCAGGGCTGCCGTGAGGGTGTGCAGGGTTTGGGATTCGAGGGTTGGGGTTTCGTTTTGGTCGGTGTTGTTTGCGGGGGTGTTTTGTACGGCATTGTGGGTGTTGGTGTTGGTTTGGGCTGCGTGAGGCACAGGCACAGGCACAGGCACAGGGAGCTGGAGCTTGGCGAGCAGCGCCCCGATGAAGCGGATGTAGGCGTGGATGTAGAGGCGGTCTTGGGCCAGCCAGGCCGCCAGGCGGGGTTTGGGGAGCGTGCCGGCGGCGGCGGCGGAGAGGAATGGGTGGGCGGTGGGGGAGGTGGCGGTTGTGAAACTGGTGGTGGTCGGGGGCGGGAGGGGGAGGGTGAGGAGGGTGGTTGTTAGGGTCATTTTGGTATGGATTTGGAGGTTTGGGGGGGGGGGTTGTGTAGTGGGGGTGGTTGTTATGATGAAGGATGGTGTTCGTGGTTTATCAGGTGGGATCATCCGGATGGGTGGGGGGAAATATGATAAGTTAAGGTTCGGTTAGGGTTGGGAAAGTATACGGACTGCGGACTGTAACGCTTAGGCTACGACTGAATCCGGGTCCTGGCAGATCTCTGTGTCCTACCGTGTGACAAGCAATGCTGCATGTTTCATTGTCACGAGTCTTCTGTCTCACTAGTTAAAATTAACTAGTCCGAGTTAAAATACATGTCAGATCGGGGCCGTCGATCTTCTGAGATCTCACATCTGTCAGAAGGGCTTAGACTCAATTGCCAGCCTTGTATCCCAGGATACTAGCCACCAACGCCTCCAGCGCATAATGCGCATCGTTACCCGCATTGTGAAGATGCCACGGCTCCAAGCCCAGCTCTGTCATCACCGTTCCCAGGGATCGGGGTTGCATCGGCTGCTGCTGCTGCTGCAGATCGGCATGCATAGCGCAATGAAGTCCGGCAGTATCCAAGCGATCATTCACCATCTCCAGTGTCACCCCGATTTTACGTAGGTGTTCCAAATCAGCGGCGAGACTGTGGCCAACAAGCACCACATGACGATCCTCCGATTCATCCTCTTTCTTCTCGGCGACAGCCACCTGCTGGAACGCCTCCTGCACGACCCCCTTCAGGTTCTCCAGCCCCACGAACTCACTGGTCCCGAACCGAAAGTCCCCCGGGCAGCCCCTCACGAACTCGTTGTTGACAAGATGACTGTACTCGCGCACGCGCAAGTGACGGGACCGGATGGCCCTGCGCCAAATGACCCCGTCCATCGAAGAGGGCCGCACGCCGTGCAGCTTGCGCATGTCCAGCACCGAGAGGCCAACCTCCGTGATCTGGGAACTGCAGCGCTCGTTCCATTCCACATCCACACTGACGAAGATAGGATCCTTCCAGAACGCGAACGGGGCCACGGCGTCCATGTTGAATGGGGCGTATTTCAGGGATTCGTCGATGGTGCCCGCGGGCCGCATCCCCAGGTACTGTTGCGCGCGGAGCAGCGACTCCTTGCGCCGGTGCTCGAGCTCCATGCGTTGCTGCTGCTTCTGGGCCGCGTTGGTCTTTCTCTTGCTCTTCATGGCGTCGCAGGCGGCTTCCAGCATCGCCTCGTAGGCAATGGCTAGCTCTCTGTGCTCGTCGCCCAGGTCTTTCCAGGGGTCGAGGTAGCGCTCGGAGGGGGGTGGCACACGGGCTTGCAGACGGTCCTTGGCCTCCCGGTTGGTGCTGGTTCCCAGGAACTTCGGCTGCGGATATGCATCATTGTCGAAGGAGAGGACGAGGCCCATGTCGCGCTCCGCCGGGAGTTGGAGGGTGCACTTGAAGGTGCGGTTAATCTCGCCGAGGAGGCGGCGGGCGTGCCTGGCTGGGGTGAGTAGAATGCATCGACAGCCCAGGCTGGAGGGCGTATAGTGGTAGTAACTGGCAAGCATAAGACATTAGTGATAACGAAAATGCTTTGCTGGGAGAGGAATGAGCATACATGTCCCAAGATCGGGCCCAGAATTGGTTCTTGTCGAAGAACCGGCTGGCTATCTGCTGGGACAGGCTGTCGTCTTTGATGAGCTTGTATGGGTACCGTGAGAGGGCGATAATGGGAGTGAAAGTCTTGTCGCTAGGGTCTTCATGCAAGGACTCATTGGTCGCCGTGCTTTCTTCAGAATCCAACTGTTCGGACTTGAGCACTGCGCGCTTGGCTCGCGCTGGTCTTATGCTGACATGCTGCAGTTCGCCAAGCACGAGTTCCTCGAGTTCCGGTCCTTCGAGGTCGCTCTCAGTGGGTAGGTGTTTCTGGGAACTGACCTTTTGGGATTCAACACCCTCAGAACGATCGTCCTTATGCTCGTCATCATGTTTGAGATTCCCGAGCTGGATACTCTCTGGCTTGGTGTTCTCTGGTTCTGTTCCTTCGAGCTTGGCCTCCTTAGACTGGGCTTCCTCGGGTTGGTATTCCTCAGTCTTGGTATTCTCTACCTTTGTTCCTTCGGAGTGTCCTCTGAAGGCGGGTTCTTCGGGCACTCTGTCTTCTGATATACGAGGGGTAAGAATTGTTAGTCCATCATATCTCTTACTATGCGAAATAGAGTGATCAATGGTTCAGCCAATGGTGTTCACGCGCATCCCCAGTAGGATTCCCAAACCAGTCAACTTACGGTTAAGACGAGTGTCCATCTTCAACAGCTCGTCCTCCCTAGCAAACAGGTAGTTGAGTCGCTGAACTGGTGTCATTTTAATGGTGGTTTTTGACCTTTGACAACGTGATTGAGTAGCGGGAAGAATTGATGGCAACGCAGATGAGAATAAAGAGATGGTGGGAAGAAGACAAGGGAAGAGATGATGAGGAGGAGAGGCAAAACACATCGTTTGTCTGGGGAACAAACGGCGGGGCTGCAGTTGTGCAACATCGTAGCAAGGAGGTACAAGTATCGATCAATTCACTGAAGGGACATACTAGGTAGTAGCCTTCACTTTTATTTTTGCATTTTTCCGGTTCTGTTCATGTGTGCTGCATTCACTATATTGAGTGTAGCAAGTACTAATTCTAAGCAAGTTCTTCACTACACCAGTGAAGCAAGTATTGCGATCTGTGTGAAAATTGTTGGTGGTATAGGGAATGTTCACACTTGTGTTTGTGTCCGTCAAGGCAAACAGCATATATACTGTGGGGTAGTATCGATACTACTACTTGACCAGTAAGTCAACATCACATGTCTTTACCACCACCATACTCTACCCAAGTACATACTGGTAAAGTTTTTAGTCAGTCCAGGTGGAGTTCCATGATAAATCATTCTGCATCCACATACTATCCAACAACATTGCAGAATATCAACATCTCTGGGTCTCCGCAGCTGACAGCTGTCGGATCAATCTTTCTCCCCTCTCCATGCTGAGTCATTTCTCTATCCAGCCAATCATTGTTTATCTCCTTCCACTTCCACTTCGGCTTCACTCAACAATAACAAGACAATTGCACAGCCCAACCGATCGATTATTCGCCATTCTTTCTTCAATTTGCAGCTGGTAGCTTGTGCAGACTCTTCTGTCTGGCAAGCTCTCCCCATCCATGTAAAAGTGCGGACCAGTCCCTCTTCATGGCCGCACCCTCGCCCAGGGTGCCGTCCGTCCACCACCTGTGACCATCTGTCCGCCCGTTCCTTCGACGCGCCTTCTTTTGCCCCCTCCCTCTCGCCTTCCCACTCCTACACTCTCTCCGTTTACTTGTTGGATGGTATGGCGGACTACCACGACCCTGGGGGCCTCATTCTGGATGGGCCTTTTGACCCCGACGCCCAAGCCACTGTCACTGACTACATTGACTACACCGAATACCTGCCCGCCGACCTCCTCCGTTCCCTCACTCTCATCCGCGGCCTCGATGAGCGCTACCTGGACGCTACCCAGGGCGTCCACGAGTTAACCAAAACATATGGCCGCCTTCCTGACCTTCCTTCCGATCGGCGTCCCGATGCGCGCGCCCTGCGCAAGGACATCTCCGCCCAGCTCGATCGCGCCATCAACGCGCGCGAGTCCGCCTACGCTGAAGCTTGTCGCCTATACGAGGTCATTGACCGTCACTACAGTCGCCTTGATTGCATCAAACGCAAGCTAGAGGCTCTCCCCAAACCCGCATCGCGCGAACCCACACCACCCCCCGCTCCTCCTGTCCAGACACTCACAACCACCAAGCGCGGCCGATCGGTCAAGAAGGTTGATGACAATGCTGTGGCTCCTGCGCCGCCGACTACGCGCATTACCTTGCGCCTTGACAGCCGAGAAGGTAGTCGCGCAGTTGCGCAGCCCAAGTCGCGCACCCGTCGATCGCTCATCGCCGCCGAACATTTGACCGACTTTAACCCCGATTCTCCCATCGCCAGCACAGAACATTCTGATGACGAGGCGAACGCTCCGACAACGTCCTCCGATTCTCAGCCGAAACCTGCCGCTGCTCCTCCCGTTGCTTCTGTCGACTCATCTACTCCCACAACCACCACTTCACCTGTCAAAGAGAAGAAAGCCGCTCGACGTTCACGTGGGTCTGGCCTGGTGCCTGGGGTTCCAGGTACCAGTGGGCCTTCCATGTCGATCAGCGGTGCGCTGGCCATGCTCAAACCACCCCCTGAAGATGCCAAGCCTGGCAGTGAGGACATGCCGTGGTTGCGGCTGACTGAGTGGGAGATGACCAAGCTTCGCAAGAAGATGAAAAAGAACGCGGTGTGGCAGCCGAGTGAAGTCATGATCCATCGCGAGTTGGCGCTCCGTGGTCGCGGTTGGGGGGCTTACCGAAAGGCCAAGGAAGAAGCTGATGCGTCCGGGACTGAGTTCCTTGACTGCGACGACATTATGAACACGTACATCCCTGGAAAGCTAAGCAAGCGCGGCGAAGCACCTGTTGACATTGAGGCACCGTTTGAGACTAAGCTAAGCAATAGAGGTATGAAGCTGAACGAGGCTAAGAAGCTTAAGCGTGAGAACCAGGCGCGTGAGCAGGCAGCGGCAGCCGCTGCTGCAGCCGCTGCGGCCGCGGCCGCAGGTGATCACACAACAGCGAAAAGCCCTGATCAGCCTACCTTAACACTCAAAGGACCTTCCGCTCCAGAAGCGTCACCGGCTGCAAGCAAACCGAGTCGTTCCACCGCAAAGAAACGCAAGGCGGACGAGGTAACTCCGCCAGAAGCGACCCCTGCAGCTCCTGCAGCTCCTGATACTGTTACTCCTCCTGCTCCCGTTACTGTTACTTCTCCAACTCCCGTGGCGTCCCCCCCCACAGCTGCTCTCATTGCTCCGCCTGTGGCAGCGGTTGCTCCGGCAGATTCTATAATCCCAGTAGCTCCGGAGGCTCAAGAAGCTCCAGAGGCCACAGAAGCTCCAGAGACTACAGAAGCTCTAGAGACTACAGAGGCCCCAGAAGCCGCAGAGGCTGCAAAGGCTCCAGAGACTTCCGAGGCTCCAGCTGCGCCCGCTGAATCTACCACTCCTACCGAGGTAGAGACACGAACCTCGTTGCGCAGCGCCAGCAAACGCCGTCGGATCAGCAAGGGATCCTTCACTCCCGCCGAGAGCAACGCAACCATGCCAAACCCGGCTCCACCGACCGGCCCAGATGCTGCTGCGGCCGAATCAGCCGATGCGCAGAAGCAGCCAGTCTTGTCCTCCCCAGTCAGCAATAAACGATCTCTTCCCCCTCCAGCTTCAACTACTACTGGCAAAGCACCAGCCACTGGCACGCCCACACCCCCGGTCACTCGACCTTCGTCCCGCCGAGGTGCAGCCCTGTCAGCGGAACCGACCAGCAACGCGAACACCCTGCCAACAACCGGCCGCGAGCTCCGCCGGAAGAGCGCCACACCTGCGCGACGCACGCCTGTTCCGGAGACGGCCCGTGCCACAAGTGTCAGCGCGCCCCATCGCAAACGGAAGCGCCCTGCGCCCGGTCCCGTATCGTCAGGCCAAGATGGCGGGGCCGCAGTCAGCTACGGCCGACGCAAGGCCAAGCCTGGCAAAAAGCGCATTAACCTGCTTGAGGGGGACCTTTTGAACCGCGACGACATTCGCATTGACGAGGACGGTGTCCTGGAGGAGATCGACCCTAACGAGCCGCGATACTGTATCTGCGGAGATGTGAGTTTCGGGACCATGATTTGCTGTGAGAACCCGGATGTAAGCTTTTCTCTTTTCCCCATACCTTCCCATTTTTATCCAAATCTAACAACAAACCAGTGCGACCGCGAATGGTTCCACCTGGACTGCGTGGGTCTGTCGGAAGTGCCCAGTCGAACCGCGAAATGGTATTGCCCAGATTGTCGAGTGAAGTTCAACAAGGGAGTGGATGGGATTGTGAAGAACAACCCTCGGCGGTGATGGATCGTCCTGATTTTGATCCACTAAATTTTCTTTTTCTTTCCTTTTTCTTTTCGACCTCCACCCCCCCAGTCCGCCCACCCCTGGAAAAGGCTTTACATCCCTTAAAATAGTGGCGGCGACCTGCTACGAGACCACGATCTGCCAAATTTTCGTTCCCTTCTTCCCGTCCCGTTCGAAGACTTATGTTTATCATCTCGGCTTCCTTCTTTGGGGGTGGTTGTTTCAATTCCGAAGGTTCAGTTGTTCGTCCTTCTGTGATTCGCAGCGTGGCGAAAGTGATTGATTTGGGTGGGAGTTTGAGGGAGTTTTGATTCTCTTTGTTTCAAACAAAATTGGTGATACCATGACAGATCGATCTTTATGTCGTTCGGTAGTCCAGAATTCTCTTTCTCTCTGTCTTCATTTCATTCCCCCATCTTTTCTATGTGTCCTTTTTTTCATTTTCCGAGAGAGAGATAGGGATATTTACCACAGAACTATTTCCCCTTTCGTTCTTACACGCTACAAAGCTTTGGATGCTTATGAATCTCTAGGTGCTTGAGTAAGATGTTTACATACGTTAACAAAAACACGCGCACTATATACACTGGTCTGCATTCATCATCGTCATCGTCAGAGGAAAAATGGGTTGAAAAATTTTACTTCAACTCCCACTGGCCGTCGGCACTGACGATCTCGACCGACCGCTTCTCATCCAAGGAGACGCGACCGGCGTGCAGGATCGCCGTCGTGGCGATGGTGTTCTGCAGCGTGGGCAGGGGTCTGGCGTCCAACTGGTCTAGAGTGACGCGACCCTCGTTGAGGGCGGTGACAGCATCGATGAACTTCTCGAAGCTGATGTATCCGTAGCCGGTCTGGCCGCCGAAGTTGCCCTCTTCGTCCGGGGCGTACTTCATGTAGAAGCTGGGGTTTGATTCTCGTTAGGTCATAAATCCTTGGGAAAAGAAGGCAAACTTACGGGTTCACCCAGATCAATCCCTGCTCATCTTCGGTGACGTCGTAGCCACGCTTGGCTTGGTTCACGCGGACTTCACCCTTGGAGCCCATGTCTGATGGTCCATGTTAGCAAGCTCTCTCTCTCTCTCTCCCCCACCACTTCAGTATTGCCGAAGGAAGGGAGCACATACAGTGGAAGTACTGGTTCGAGTGGACGCCGGCCTTCTGCGGCGCCGTCCAGCTGGCGGTATACACGCCGGTGGCCAAGCGGCCGCTGCCGTCCTTCTTGCGCCACTCGACCAGCAGGGTGATGGTGTCCTCGGTCTGGTTGACGCAGCCCAGCTCGGTGGCGGTGCCGGTGGCGGCGCTGGCGGTGACCTTGACGGGGTGGTAGTCCGGGACCATGCTCTCGTTGATGTCGATGTGGTGGGAGTTGAGGTAGTAGGAGATGTCGGAGTCCTTGCCGGCCCAGGCCTTGAAGGTCTCCAGCTGCGACTTGGGCTGGCTCATGTAGCTGTAGAAGTAGTTGAAGTCGCCCAGGCGCGCCGCCTTGGCCCGCGCGTCGCTGTACGCCGGGTCGAACCGCTTGTGGTGCTCGATGAACACCAGCACCCCGTGCTTGCGCGACTCCGCCAGCAGGTCCAGGTGGTCGCGCAGCAGCTGCGTCGCCGGCTTCGTGATCAGCACGTGGATCCGCCGCTGGATCGCGTACAGCGCGATCGGGTAGTGCGTCGGGTCCGGCGTGAAGATCGTGATCGCCGACCCCGCCGGCAGCGCGTCGATGGCCGCCTTGTACGCTTCCGGGTCCGTCGTGTGGTCCGCCGGGAACGAGGTGAAGCTGGTGTCCAGGTTGTTGTAGACTTGCGAGATGTTGCGGTGGAGATGGTCGCCTTTTTGGGGGGGGTTGCGGTTTAGTAAATTGTTTTTTTTTTTTTTTTTTCAATTGGGGTTTGTTTGGGAGTGTGGAAGAGAGAGAGAGCAACGTACGGATGCCTGGGAACTTGGAGCCGGATACTCCAACCATGCTCAAATCGCCCACTTTGCCCCGACGACGCAGATCGAACAGCGTCAGACCCACGACACCGACTTTCTTGTCAGAGGTCGAGGCAGCACCACCGACGTAGCCGGTGGTGTACTCGCCCGTTCCTACCTGGTATGCAGTGTTAGGACTCCTGGTGGGGATTTGGTAGGAGGGAGGACGGGGAAGCTCTTACCATCAACACGGCGGGAGGAGCCATTTTTGTGTAATGTGAAGGGGGGGAGGAACTGGAGGAAGAGGTGAGGATTGTGACCGTGAAAAATGAGCAGAAGAAAAGAAACCAGAATTCAGTAGAAGAAGTGGGTGTCAGGAGGATTTATCCACTGGACTGGAGACCTGCGGGGTTCAATAGCCGACGTGGAGGAAAGAAGGAGGGAGGGATTTCTGGTACGGACAATTGCATCAATCAATGATGTTCTGGACGGAAGAAAGAAGATACTCGTGATGGCTGAGGTAACTTTGAGTGTTCTAGACAGACCATAACTTGTAAGACTCGCTGCGCAGGTAATACGTCTGTCAATGACATCGAGGTTGAGTGTATGCAGCCTGCATCGGCGTTTGAAGCGAGTCTGCTCAAAATCTGCCCAAAAGAGGCAAGTCTACTCCCGGCACTTGTTGATTGGTGGAGAAATGGACTCCGCGCCGGCCGTGGGGTTGACGGATTACGGGCCGGTTACCATTTCAATACACGCGGGGTAAACATGAGGGGTTATAAGAATCTCCCTCAAGGCTGTCTGTCTGTCGGTCGGTCTACACTTTTTATCTTTGCACTCCTTCTTTTTCTATCTTCGATTCAAGCATCCTACCTCTCTCACGACTGTCAAGTAAGTTTGTTCGTAGCCAAGGCGAGTTTCTCTACCTAACATTGAAGCGCAGAATGTCCCGCACTCCCCTTCGCCCCGGAGTTTACGCTCCCACTATGACCTTCTTCAACCCAGACACCGAAGACCTCGATGTTCCCACCATCCGTCGTCACGCCGTTCGCCTCGCCAAGGCCGGTCTCGTTGGTCTCGTCTGCATGGGCTCCAACGGTGAAGCCGTGCACTTGACCCTGGCCGAGAAGAAGACCGTCATTAGCGAGACCCGCTCGGCCCTGGTCGAGGCTGGCTTCTCCAACGTCCCCGTTATCGCGGGTGCCAGCGAGCAGAGCATCCGGGGTACCATTGCCCTGTGCAAGGAGTCCGCGGACGCTGGAGCCGAATACGCCCTCATTGTTCCCCCCAGCTACTACCGCTACGCCGTGGGCAATGACCAGACCATTTACGAATACTTCACCGCCGTGGCCGACGAGTCGCCCATCCCGCTCATTCTCTACAACTACCCCGGTGCCGTGGCCGGTATCGACATGGACTCCGACCTGATCATCCGCATCTCCCAGCACCCCAACATCATCGGCACCAAGTTCACTTGCGCCAATACCGGCAAGCTTACCCGCGTCGCCTCGGCCCTGCACGCCATCACCCCTCCCTCTCCCTTGAACCCGGCCGCCCGGAAGTTCCCCAACACCAAGACCGAAGCCAACCACCCCTACGTCGCCTTCGGCGGTATCGCCGATTTTGCGCTGCAGACCCTCGCCTCCGGTGGCTCTGCCATCCTGGCCGGTGGGGCCAATGTCATCCCCAAGCTGTGCGTGCAGATCTTCACCCTCTGGAGCGAGGGCCGCTTCACGGAAGCTATCGAGGCACAGGCGCTCTTGAGCAAGGCCGACTGGGTGCTCACCAAGGCCGCTATCCCCGGCACCAAGAGCGCGATCCAGAGCTATTACGGCTATGGTGGCTTCCCCCGCAAGCCCTTGGCTCGTCTCGGTGAAGAGCAGGTCCAGGCTGTAGCAGAGGGCATTAAGGATGCGATCGAGGTGGAAAAGACGCTGCCGGATGTTGCCTAGATTCTGTCTTCTTCCCCCTTCCCCTTCTCTAGACCTTTTGTATATATGATGAAAATGAAACCTTGATTCTCTCTTCTGATTTTCCAATTCCTAGCGCTTCGCAATATTCCGCAGTATCGCGGCAGAGGAGGGGTAAGGTGAAGTGGGCTGAATTAACCCGAGCCGGACTTCTATCCGAATTCCGAGAGGGAGGGACCCCCACGCCAATGACTGTCGGGTGGGGGCTGATTGGTGGAGGGTTTTCTCCGAGTGGGAAAGTCGTTGAGGGTGAGAGTGGGAGACCATGATACTAGAAACTTATACCAAGGTGAATTAATGCTACTGGCATCAGTCATGTTATTCCTAATTTATGTTGATGCTGACTTAAGCAGCTAGATCCCTCTGGGCATTCATAAGGCTCTTATCAGCATCAGCCCCCATCTCACGCCATGCGGCTGTCAATGGGATCTGCATTGACCACATATATCGATGCTGGAGCTAATATATGACCCTCAGCAGGGAGAATATGTGGACACCTACACGAATCACGACTGTATATACATAAACATGCATTTCGTGGTATGAAATGATTGAGTATGGGTATTTCTCTGGATGGCAATATGCTTCTTGTCTGCCAGAAGCATCCGACTGGAAGATTGTCTTTCCTGTGTCGAGATAATCCCAGCTTAAACGAACAAATCATGGTGCACTGCGCACCAGTATGCATGATTCAGCAACAGATTTCATGTGAAGCGAGGCGAAGAGAACAAAGATATCATCGAAATTCGGAGCACACAGAGAGCCAAAACCGCTACGTAGTCAAATCACCCTGGGGTTACACCCAGCCAGGAACAGGAGTCTGCAAGCCATAGCTTGGAATCCCATGCAGTCTCGCCAGTCGAGAACGATGGCCATCTTAATGTTCAGGTTTGGAGATTGTACCCAACCTGTTGTGTGTGGTCTTGGTCTTTGACTCACGCAGCAGTTCAACCCAATGCCATACTTAAAAGACTTGGATACTTATCTACAGTGATGCGGCCCGAGCGAATCAATCAATGCCTGATCATGTTTGCAGCGCGATATCGACTTCACAAGATGGCCGATTGTCGGGCTAGGTGGGCATCGTTAAAGAACCACTGAACTTTGGGGGGCAGTGGGCCAGACCACAACCGAAGGCAAACCCCACGGGGGCGGGCGGGAAGCAGATGGAGTCGATCGGGGAAAAGGGGGGGGGGGGGGGGCGGTCGGGAGACTAACCTTCGGATTTTCACACCTGGCATTCGCATTCAACATACCAATCCGTCTCGAGGGAGTGGTCTGTTCTTGCCAATTCTCCAACAATCACCAAGACCCTGCACGTAAATAGGAGATTGGGGACATGATCCCACCTTCTTGCCAGATCATCCATTAGGCAGCCAGGTCGATGCCAAACCAACTCACTCCCCTCCTAAACCCTACCTTACTGAAACCGGGCAGTGAGTGATTACCGAACCATGAGTCCGAGTAGATACAGTCAGCCTTAACCAGGGGGAAATGAGAGAAGAACAACCATGGGGAACCATGGGCAACCATGGGATGGAAGAACAGAAAAATTCATTGTTGACCCAGTGTGTCAGTCCGCCACTTCCAATCGGAGGAAGGCAAATCCGCAAAGTGGCGTCTCACCGCCCCTCTCCCCAAGGGCGCTGACAGCCTGACACCCTTTTTTCTGCCCATTCATTATTCATCGCGGGAGTATTGTCATTCATCCCGGTCATTCATCAATCATCTCTCCCCTGATCCTCATTTCTGCTTTTTTTTTTCTTTTTTTTCTTTTTTTTGCTTCTCATTTTCTTATCTTTTTTTTTTATTTCATTCTCGTCTCTTTCTTATTGTGTCGATTCTTCTGTGATTAATCTTTTTTTATCACTTCTGTTCTATCTGATATTTTTCTGATTCTCTCGCCCTCCCTCTCTCTTTTTCTGTGTCTCAACCTCCTTCTATCTATCACCATCTCTACTTCCTTCGTTTTCCCCCCTCCCCTCCAATTTTTTTGGTTTTATTCTGGTGGTTGGTGCGGCTTATAGGGCGTCTTCATCAGTCTTGTCCCTCGTTCAATCATCGCCCTTGCCTACGCCTTTTTCAGCTTCGGGTCCCCTATTACCTCAGCTCGTCGGCGCTACCTGATACAGCACAGCCTCCCTTGCGTTTTATCCCCGATAGTGTGGTTATATCTGTCTGCTATACCTCACGGGTGATCGCTCCCGCGTGACTATCTTCTGCCCCTCGGAACGGTCGTCCTCCCAACAAACTTGCAACAGATTCGACACAATGGCACCAAGAGACAACAACGCAGGCAATTCCCGCCGTCGTCCCTCGCTTTCTTTCCGCACTCGACCTCGGACGTCCACCGTATCGACCGTTCAGACCATCGGACCAGATCACGAGCTCTGGCATGGCCTTCCCGTTGTCGACTCGGACGTTGATGGGTACGATGGGCAGGCGTTGGAGGAACATCATATAGGAGAGCAGGTTCTGGAAGACACAAACCAGTTTCCTGAACCCGCCCCAAGGCGCCGCGGAGCGAAGAGCTTCTCCAGTCTGCGGCATCCCGTGGATGGGTTGCGCGCTTTGGGGCGTCGTCTTTCTGTGACAATCCGCAACAAATCCACGAGACACTCGGCCAATCCAAGTGAGGATTACACCAGGAACTCCTGGTGCAACGAGGCTAACGTTGATCGCCGTTCATCGGTCCCTGGTCCCGTCCCCGGTAATGGCCTGGCTCCTCCAGTCTTCCCGGATGACATCTATGCCGGGGCGTCTGCTCGTGCCGCGGCCGCCGCTCAAAATGAACTGGCCCGAGCGCTGCGCGATGGGGTCAAGTCTTCAGAGACGAGATTAACCAGGGACTCGGAAAGTGGCATTGGAATCGATTTGCGCGACCGCTCCGAGCTCTCTGACTCTGCTCTGGCGGTTGTGCGGATCGACCCCGTTGCTTATCTCCCTCCGGAGATTATGTCACAAGTGTTCTCTTACCTCGACCCGGAGTCACTGATGCAGACAGAGCTAGTCTCGCGCGCCTGGAGTGAGCAGGCTTCCTCCCGGCATATCTGGCGACATGTGTTCCGTCACGCCTACAGACACCATCGTCCCAGTGGGCTTTCGACTAAGAAGAGGCAAGCTGCTGGTCTGGGCAAGGCCCGTCCCGATCAAGACTGGAAGAGGATGTTCCTTGTGCGGCGCGCTTTGGAACATCGTTGGAAGGAGGGCAAAGCCGCTGCTATCTACTTGCATGGCCACACGGATAGCGTCTACTGTGCTCAATTTGATGAGTATGGCTCCTTTGACCGTCAAAAAAAGACCTGCCTGCTGACTCCATTCTAGGGACAAGATTATCACTGGCTCTCGTGATCGGACAATTCGCGTCTGGGATGCTCATTACCCATGGCCATGCCGCAAGATCATCGGCCCTCCGCCTGGTGATGTTCCCGGCATTGGCCCTGTCAACAATCAAACGCAGCAATCATCCGGCAAACCGCCCTTTCTTACTATCTGTCCTCCACCCACTAGCTCTGCAGGCATTGTAGCTCCAATGGAACAGAGTGCGGACTACCATAGCGCCTCAATCCTCTGTCTGCAGTTTGATGACGAGATCATGGTTACTGGCTCTTCCGATTTCACCTGCATTGTGTGGGATGTTAAGAATGACTACAAGCCGATCCGTCGTCTGGAGGGACATCGGGCTGGAGTCCTTGATGTTTGTTTTGACGATCGGTATATTGTCTCATGCTCTAAGGACACCACGATCTGTGTCTGGGATCGCCACACTGGTGCTCTGGTCAAGAAACTGCTTGGTCACCGTGGCCCTGTCAATGCCGTTCAGCTCCGTGGTGACCTGGTAGTTTCGGCCAGTGGGGATGGAATCGCCAAGTTGTGGAATATCACTTCCGGTCTCTGCGTGAAGGAGTTTCCCAGCAAGGATCGGGGCTTGGCCTGCGTTGAATTCAGTGATGATGCTCGAACCATCTTGACGGGTGGTAATGACCATGTGATCTACCAATTTGATGCAAACACTGGAGAAATGGTGAGCGAGCTCAAGGGTCACGAGGGGCTCGTCCGGTCTCTGCACCTGGACAACATGAATCAGCGCATCGTCAGTGGCAGCTATGACATGAGTGTCAAAGTTTTTGATGCGCAGTCTGGTGAGCTGTCAATTGACTTACCTGGCTGGACGACCAGCTGGATGCTCAGCGTCAAGTCCGATTACCGGCGCATTCTTGCGACCAGTCAAGACTCTCGTGCCGTTATAATGGATTTTGGATACGGTCTAGATGGCATAGAATTATTAGAAGAGTGAAGAACTGGATAGAGTCGCTAGACGTTCTCACTCCATGAATTTTGGTTGTCGGTTTTTTTTTTCGGGGGAAAAGTTCATGCTGTTGGCTTGGCGGAGTATACTGGGTGTCTTGGAATCTCTACTTGGAATGCTTTTTGATATATACATTAATAGCGATAGAGCGCGTCGACCATTTTATCAGTCACCTAAATTCTACCTTGACTTTGGACTTTCATTTACATATCTAAGACTTGGCGTTGTGGCCTGATTTGTAAGGCTCAAGTGAGACAAGTAAGATCGGAGAGGCGGCGATTGAGATTGGACCCAATCGGGTTAGCGCCTCGCAGTCCCGTGGGTTTTGGCGACAGCAACAAAACACTCCCCCCCTCTGCTCTACTTGGCCTTTGTTTTTCTCCATAATAAACAAAAGTCTGAACATATTTGGTGACAGGCCTTCGTTGTTGACTGCTCTTCAACCTCCTACGACCTCTCTTCCAATTCAAGCGATTCCTCTGCCGTTCTTCCACACCCTTCTCAACCCCAAGCCCCGACCTAAAATACCCCACCATGGGCGAATCGAGGTTCGTCAAGCATTCTGTTTGGATCTCACATGCGCGACGGCAACATCAGCAGTCGAGATCGAAAGCGACCAAGGCTAACATAATTGGATGAACTGATAGGCAAGAGCTGCTGGCATGGCTTAACA